GTTCAAAGCTCCGGTTTCAAAGTGTGACTTATCACCATTGAGGTTTTGGGAGAAGAGAAGGGGCTTCTCATGCCCTTGCTTTCTTATTAATAACTAGCCATGGGCTGGTTTTTTGAAAAGTAATCATTCCACTTTGATGTTGCATTTCAGATACATGCTATGTGCTATCCTTTGCAATCATTATGTTAAACACTAGTCTACACAACCACAATGTCAGAGACAAACCAACGGTGGAGCGGTTTATATCTATGAATCGAGGTATTAACGAGGGCGGGGACCTCCCCGAGGAACTGCTGCGGGTAAGCTGCTTTTACAACGGCAAGTGTGCCGACTTTCTGCTTTTGATGTGGGGCCAAGAAACAAGTGCATCAATTTTGGCACTGATCTCTTTGGGAACCAACACAGTCGGATTTATTATCATGTAACATTGGATCTCTGGAGAAAGAATTCTCTCAGTAATGCTAGGTTGAGAATAGCTGGCTTGCCCCCAAGGACAGCAATCAGTCTTTAGGGACTGTGCTGGGAACTGAACTGGGGTTTCCCCAGTCTCCAGGTCCACCACGCCAGCCACTACTTTACACTTGCTTTTGTTCAGTTGTGTTTATACTTTAGGCAGCATTTTGAACCAACTCTCTTGTGTGAGCAAGGGGCCATTAACTGTGATGGTCCTCCACACATCTACATGACTGACGTTGGTACATAAGAAGCTGAGTCAGACCTCTAGTCCATCTAGCTCAGAGCTGCCTGTGCTGTGTACAAATGGCTCTCCAGAGTTTCTGGCAGTCCTAAACTGGAAATGCCAGGGATTGAATGTGGGGCCTTTTTGCATGCAAGACGTGCTCTACTACGGAACCTTTCCTGGATAGGAGATCCATCTCTGAAGATGAACAAATGCTTCCAACACAAATGGTTAACTGTACATTCACCTATCATGGTTCTTATGTGTTGACCAAGCTGGCCTCTTGCTTCTTCCCTCACATTCAACTACCATAGTACCTCTATGTCCTGCTGAATATGGAAATATGTTTATGATTATGATTATATATATATATATATATACACACACACACATATATATATATAACGAGTGTGTATCTTGCAGGTAGATGCTTCTTCCTGCAGATTTCCAAAGTAGAACTACTATTTTCCAAGGGAAAATCTCATTAGCCTTTTTGCTTTCTGTAAAGTGGATGATTCTCAAAGTGAGAGATTCATGCAAACCCATTTTACCTGATTCAGGTGTTTCCTGGTGTGTTTTGAATGGTTGAACATGTTTACAGATTATTTAATTTTCAGTGCTTCCATTTTTGCCTTTTTTGTGACCTACTGTTGAACAATTAACATAGCTAGCACAATACATGCTTACCTTGCCCATGAAAAGTGCAAAATTATTTGCAGATATGACCGTGCATATAGTTTCTCCGAAAATAATTGATTTTAGTTTCTCTTTGAGGTGCTTTGACAAAACCTGCTGGCTGCACCTTGCAGCCCTGGCAATGGTGTTAAACTTTTCCTCTCCTGTTTTCTTCCAGAATTTATACGAAAGCATTAAAAATGAGCCCTTTAAAATCCCAGAAGATGATGGGAATGATTTAACTCATACGTTTTTTAACCCAGACCGAGAAGGTTGGCTGCTGAAATTAGGTCAGTAAGTGGGTAATTTCCCTGATACTTTATTTTGTGTATTAGCATGTGCTGCTTTTGTTATCCGCCCCCCGCTCCACTATTACGTTGAAAATTTAATGCAATGGAATCAGTATTAGTTTCTGCTCAAATATTGCCAACCACTTTACATAATTCTTTTGTCTTATTACTACTTTATTATCCTCCTACTTCACAATTTTGAGTGAAGTTTGATTTCCAGCTTCTTGGGGTTGAAAACCTCAGCCGAAACCGAGTCCCGGCTCTTTCTTTCGTAAAGGTAGCAGAATCTGATAGATTACAGGGTTGTTGTTGTTGTTGTTTTTAAAAAAACTTTAAACCTTTTCCAGTAATGCTCTTGTGTTGATTCACAATTAGGTTTTCTGTGCGGTCACACAAAAGAACACACCTCTCTCTTCCAAAGGTTATTCCTGTATGTCTTTAGTCCCCCCCCCCAAACCCTGGTACTTGTTTATTTCTGTTGGTTTGATTTTTGGCTATGATTTTTTAATGAGTGGTTTAAATGTGCCTTCTTGTTTTCCTTATGGCCTATGACCTATCACCTTTCTGTTCTGTGACTGGCTGTCTCTGCTTATTCTGCATTAGGAGGTACGTAACTGATGGCTTTCTATCCCCTTTCTCTTGTTCTGTTGCTCATTCTCTCTTTGATTTTACCCTCCCCGCCTTCCTCCTTGTCTTCCTCGTTGCTCAGTTTCCATTATTACAGCATTTGTGGGGTTACCATGCTTGTCACTTAATACCACTAACTTTAGTCTGGCGAAGCCAATGAGATTCTGCTCATGCATAAGATGTTAGCTGCTAGCTCATGTTTGAAATGCTCAACACTTAGCAGTTGACGACCTCAATATTCAGTACCAGTTCTGTGCAGCTTGATCCATATGGGATTGGTGAGCTAAGTGCCCCTGATTTATTCATGTATGTATAAACAAACAAACAAACAAACCCTATCTGTTTTCCCGACAAAATTTATTGTAACTTTCCCCTCTACCCTTGATGCCTCTGTGACAGGCTTGGACAGTTACAGAAAGCTACTGTAACCCTAAAAATAATCATGCAAAGACATTAAGTGTCATGGACTTACCACAAGACTCTAAATTAGAGATTTTGGATTAGTAAGTGGAGATGTTTGTGGCTGCTTGTTCAGACACAGAGATGTCTACATGAATGGGAAAAGCAGTGTCGGTTCTGAAGAGAGGCTCTAGAATCATTTCACAGGAAATAAATCTGAGAGGAAGGATTCTTTAGACAGTATCACACACAACCTTCATGTGCTTCAGAAATAGAATTGTTCTTGTAAGGAAACAGTATGTTAAGATGTTAGCACTCCTTTTCTTTTTTTAAATAAGTATTTCCATCTGAACTGTATCGTAAGTCCAGGAGCCTATTTGTTCTGTGCACATTTTTATGTGTATGTTAAAGAGTTTATTTGAACAAAGCTGGAGACCTCCTGAGTCAGTAGGAACCTGAAACTTTTGGCAGCTGGTTGGTGTTTGAGGGCCAAAGTGTGCGGAGTCCATTCAGGCTCTTTTGAAATGTGAGGTAGCTTAGTTACAAACTTGGTCTTAACAAGACAGTCTTGCCAAAGATCAGGTTTTGTTTGGTCACCAGTGAATTTAGACCTTGCTTCTGCGTTGTTTGTTTTAAAATGCTGATATAAAGGCCTAATCCCAACCAGGTTCAGAGGCAGCTTTGGGTTGTTGTTGAAAATAAGGTGCATTGAGACCCCCTTGACACTTTTTCCATAAAGACTGGCCAGAAGTCTGATGTTTGTATTCTCCTAGTGTAAAGTTTCCTTGTAATCAGGGGGGCCAACTTGAATAAAATATTGGGAGGGGGCGGGTAAGCCCTGCCCTGCATAATTGATCACAAGATGCAGTGCGCACACACCATTTGAATTGCAGTGCCCATCCACTTTGGGGGCCCCCAGCTGGTCAAAGAATACACCATGCTTATTTTAAGAAGTTTAACATATAATCACTTTAGAATTGTTTAATCCTACTTCTTCTTATCTTTCTTTACATAGATCAATCACCTTCTATAAAGCATGACAGTGATTGTATTGGAGTGTGTTTGTGTGTGTGTGTTTGGAAGGAGACTGCAGACTGGGAATAGCTAGCCAAAGATTTTCCTAGCAGCATCAGACTCTAGTTTATTTTGGGTTAGTTTGCAGGCCTTGCATAAGGATTAATTGTGGGCCAAATGAGGGGGCGGTGGCTGTAATAAAATCCCTCCTTCTGCCCTTTCTAGTAGACATTCCAGCTGGACAAAGATCTCACAGGCGACAGATCCCGGGATGCAATACTTCTGTACCAGAATTGTTTTTTCTTCTAATAACACTGTCTGCTGGCAATAGCTCAGCTAAACTGTCTAGTACTAAAGCATTTGTTGTACTTAGCTGAGGTCTGGCTTTAATATTTTCCTCTTGTGCTCAAGAGGCAAATATGTTAGTTTCTTGGGTTTATTTTTGGCCGCTCTGAGGCTTTTACTGAAGATGAACTATTTTGCAGTGGGAATTAGAATGTGGAAGGGTGAGGCATCATCTGCCTTCTTTCTACTGTGCCAATTTCTGCACAAACTGGTGCCTTCCAGATGTTTGGGCCTTGGCTTGCCTGGACCTGATGGAGGGCACTAGGTTGACGATGGTTGTGATGTGTCAGTAATGATTCCCAAAGCCTTTTATTTTTCTTGTAAGGGAATGAGTCAATGAGTACTTGTCCAAATGGGTGTCCTTTTTACCAGCAAGTTTATTACCAACATTTTGTGGAAAGGTCCACTGTTCAGGATATGCTTTTACATAGACATGGTAGCTGTTAAATCCTACCTCATTTACCATCTTTTTTCATCATAACTCTTGGTGAAGCTTTTAGGTCTCCTTGATACAAGATTCCTTTATTTTTAATTTAACACCTATGAATGAAGGCCATTGTTCATTTTTTCCTGTGCTCTAAAGTTTCACTTAGCTGCTTTTATTGATTTCCTTATGTGACTTCTCTAATCTGCAAGGTGTGTGTGTGTGTGTGTGTGTGTGTGTGTGTGATGTTTTATCCTTCCTGTTGACTCTTCTTTCCCTTTCCATTATTAACTGACCTTATGCTATGAATGGGGTACTACTACTACATATGATTTCCAGATGACCTGTCACTTGGTTTGCTTTAAATGTTTGCCTCTAGAATTATCCATTAATTTTATAACATGCTTGCTCTGTTTGTGGAGGGAAGACAGATTGCTTTGGGAGATGCTCCTTCTTTTCAGCTGTCAGAGTGAGGATGATAGGAAGGGAGAGCAACACCTTACGCCAGAATAGTCGCTGAAAAGCAGGACGTCTCTTGGGCTCCAGTTTAACTGCTTAGGTCTGCTCTGTTCTGTACACGAACACACAAAATTTGGCTTCATTTTGTCTTTTACCTGCTTCATCTCCTCCCCTGTTATTTTTATTAGTGGCTGTGGAGTGATTAATGCTCAGGTTTCCTTCTTCTGAAAAAGAAGTCTGGACTGTCTATGCAGAGAGACATTAGAGAGAGAAACAGAGCGGTTTATCTAAGTAGAGTATTATGAACACTGAAACAGACTGGCTAAGGTGTCGGGCAATGGATCAAATGGAGTAGACTGGGTTCACAACTTGAGTGCCTTCTGCCAGATAACAAGAGCACAATACAGAAATGCTACATTTTTCATGTTCTGGTGAACCCCAAGAATGCCAAGTTCTTTTCCAGCATTTGGTTTTTGTATATTGGCTGATTCAGCCCTGGCATCCATTGACTTGACTGTTCTTGGATTCCATTGACTTGACTGTTCTCTGATTCCAAACCGAGATAAACATTTGCGAATGTTGGCTTTTTCCTGTTTGTTATCTGCATGCCACCACCTCTTGGCACTAGTTCAAGTTAGTAGTCTTTGCCATTAATTTTGAAGAGGAGTTTGATCAAACTTACTGAGTTAAGATGTAAGGATCAAGATGTGGTTTAACTTGTAGAGGCTCTTACGTTGAGTCAACATGCAGCGCACCACCAACTTGACTTCATCAAGTTCTGCATCTTAGCCTTCCTCTGTTTCTGCTCCTTGACCACACCCAACAGAAAAATGTTGTTTTGACTTGTTAGGACTATGAAACATAGGCTTGCATGTGGTAGGAAACTAGAAATACACATAACTGGAATGTAAGAGCAGCACTGGGCTACGTCTGTGAGCCCTGTAATCCCTTTATGTGCTATAAGCCACCCAGAGTGCTGGGGAAACCCAGCCAGATGGGTGGGGTATAAATAATAAAATTATTATTATTGCTTTTGCTTTTAAAGTCATATTGGACATAATATAACCTCTAACTTTAAGAGCTTACATTGCAGAGTAGTTTGAGAAAACTGCAGGATATCCAGCATATTCCTGTGATTGTTCTGCAGTTCAAGATCTTGTTTGTTTATTTTCCAATGTATTGTGCCAACAACAAGCTCAGAGAGACAAAGCCTTGTTGACCAAGGAAGAGCTGCAGATGCTTTTAAAGCTGTGCCCTGGATTGAGCAGCCTGAGTCACTTAAAATGATTAATCCTTGGGTGAACTATACTGTTTAATGAGAGCCTGATGTTCACGGTGTTCAGTAATAAGATCAGCTGTGCTGAGAGTGAAGGCTAATGGGATTAAATAGCGGGTAAATGGATGAGGCACAGGAGGTGATGCAACTCCTAAAATCTCTTAACTGCAGAGATACGAAACCTTCAGAGTGAGAGCATCAAATCCATATCTGCATATGATTTCTTGTCTGAGGTTTGTTGATGTTTAGAACACAAAAGTACCAATATTCTGGACCTTGTTATAACACATTTCTGAGGTTTTTCTCTCCTTATATTTGTATCACCTGTTGACCACAAAATAGGGGTGCTAAAATGTGAATGGTGTGTGTGTGTGTGTGTGTGTGTGTGTGTGTGTGTGAGAGAGAGAGAGAGAGAGAGAGAGAGAGAGAGAGAGTGTGTCTTCCCAGCCTTCCTCTCCATGTTTGTGTGCTGAGTGGTGTTTCTGTGATAATTGGTTAGTGATAAAACAGATTTGAGTTTGCAGTCCTATTATCACTGAACTAATCTCTAATTAGAAGCATATAATCTTGTGAATTTACTCCTAATTCTATTGATTTACTGTAACTGATTAGGTTAGTTTATTTGTACCTAGTCACTCCACCCTCATGAAACAAAAGTTTTAACAGTATGAAAGTAATGAAAGCAACGTCAATAGAAGTTAACTCTGAGTCAAACAAACTGCAACTTAAATATAAAATGCCAAATTTTCCTGGCCATTACATGTCCCCCTTTTTAAAAGGAAAAATAATTTACTTCCTTCAGATTAAGAAACTCGTGTAAGTAACTTGCGAATCCAAAAATCATTCAGTCTCTCTTCCTTTCATGGCACTATCCAGTGAGCAACTTTTGGAATGTGGGGCACACAAGATGAATAAGAAATCTATCAGACAATGGCACCTTCTCTCTCTCTCTCTCTGATGTGTGTGTTCTTAAGTGCACAAAGTACAGTGTTATTATGAGCAAGGTATAGTGGCTATCCCACCTCCACCCTCAAGCTGACTGTCAGTCCACCAAAATCCAGTTGGGTTGGGGTTTAATTAGTGTTGAGGAAAGGACACTCTGCAAAGATTAATTTTGTTCTTTGATATTTGAGTGCAAAACTGTTGTCCAAGCAAGGTCTGATAGCTTGCCATCAAGAATAAAAGTGCATATTGGCTCACTGTCTATAGAGCCCACTTTTCATATTTTGGACAACCCAAATTTTATACATTTGTATTACCCACATATAACCCTCAAAAATATTAAAATGTTCACAGTTTAAGTATCACAGACACACTGGTTAAGTTGTAAGGTAGTGATTCGAAATAAAACCAGCAATACTGTAATATAGACAACTGTTGGCATGCTTTGATACAGATTTTGTGCAAGCAGGTTTCCTCTTCCTTCAGTGAGAGCATAGAGACTGTATCCATCAAACAGATATAGAGTTGGCCGTTTTGTAGTGCATCCTGTTTTAAAATAGTCAAGCACAATAAGACAATTGGTGGCTGTGTATGTGAACTGGAATAGCCTGATGAAGCAAGTTCAGCTGCTCCTTTGATTATCTGAGCAAACTAGTTTTGATGCTGTGACAATGTTGTGATTTAGTGTCAGCTCCTATCTGACGATGAGCTTCCGGAGAAGAGCTCTACTACTTTTAACATATGCCGGAAAGGGAAGTTGGGGTCTTGGTGGTTCACCACTTCATGCTGAGTAAGATATATTTTGCGGTTTGAGGATGTCTTGTGTTCCTTTTCAAAGACATGGCTAAATTATTGCACGTTACATGTGTGTGTATGGAGAAAAATGGAAAAGGTGGTGATCTCTGATCAGCACCCATTCAAGATGACGTTTGCATATTAAGCAAGAACTGCACTTGCTTATTTGTGTGTGTGTGTGTGTGTGTGTGTGTGTGTGCAGCCTGATCCTACATGAAAGTACTTTGGTCGCTAGGTCTTACCACCAAGTAATGGTGTATAGCCTGTTCGCTGTAAGAGACTAACAGTGGAATCGTATGCATGTTTGCAAAGAAGAAGAGGTGCCGTCCTGTGCCCAAGATTGGGGGGGCGGTGCTTGTGATGTCATTATGCATAACGTCGTATCATCAGGAGGAGGCTGAGCACAGGGCAGTGTAGTTCAATGGCTGACTTCTCCTGAGTGCAAGAGAGGAAGCTGCGCCACACTGGACTTCCCACTCAGCCTCCTCCTGCAATGTCATTCGTGTGTTGCATGTATGATGTCACATAAGTGCAACACGCATTGTCAGGAGGCGGCTGATCAGGGAACACAGTGCGGCTTCCTCTCTCATGCTCAGGAGGAGCCAACCATTGAACCGTGCCACGCTCGGCCTCCTCTGCCCTCTCAACATCAAGGAGGCTCAGCTTCCTGCCAGCAAATACTGAGGTGGCTGAAAACCCCTCTGCCCCTAGGAGTTGGCACACCTGCAAAAAAGTAAGTCTTAGTGTTCAGTGAGGCATCTTCAGAGACAAGCATGTGTAGGGTTGTAGCTTTATTGTAGTATCAGGCTGTAATATATTGTAGTAAAAATACTGGGATTTTTTGGGATGAAAAAATATAAATTTGATAAATAAATAAATTTAAGGGGTGTTTTTTACAGTTGTCCATTGGGCGTATTGCTTTGAGCATTTTGTGAAGCAGCTTATACATCCTGAAAAGGAACACATAAATACATTTTTTGAGCCACTTCAAATGTTTGGGCATACAGTGATTCTTCATATGGAATTTAAAGTAATTACTCTTTCATATAGCTTCAGAAGCTGATCCGAATGGGAAGAATTCCTCCGTTTCTTAAAGAGGAATATGAAAAACTGTCTCTAATTCCTCTTCCTCATCCCTCCACCCTTGCACAGGTGCCTGGATCATACATATTATCATTCACATGGCCATCAGGTGTACTCACAGAACAGAATATGTTACTGCCAGGCTGAATGTCTGAGCTGGCACCATTTGCTGAAGTGGAAACTGTTCTGTTTGAAGATGATATCCCTGAGAGGTGATAGGATAGCCATCTTCAAATATATTCACATGGAAGATGGAGGAAGCTTTTTTCCTGCTGCTCCAGAGAGTAGAATCTGAACCCATGGATTCAAATCAAAAGAAAGGAGATTCTGACTAAATATTAGGAAGAACTTTTTGACATAACAGCTGTTTGATCATGGAATGGACTACCTTGGAAGTGGGTGGACTCTCCTTTCATTGGAGGTTTTTAAACATAGGTTGGATGACTTATCTGTCAGGGATTCTTGAGCTGTGATTCCTGCACTGTAAGGGATTGAACTAGATGGGCCTTGGGGTCCCTTCCAGCTCTTCAGTTCTGTGATTCTGTTATCTGTTCTGTTCTGCTGATTCTACATTGAGAATGAATTAGAAATGTAGAGAATGTGTACAGTGGTACCTCTGGATACGAACGCTTATGGTTGCGCACGCGTTGGGTTACAAGCTGTGCTAACCCAGAAGTAGTTGCTCCCGGATGCAAACTTTGCCCCGGGATGCAAGCGGAAATTGTGCGCCAGAGGTGCGCATGCGCAGCGGGAGATGCGCTTTCGCTAATGGTGCCTCATGTTAAGAAAAGTTTCAGGATAAGAATGGATCTCCAGAACGAATTAGGTTCGTAACCAGAGGTACCACTGTACTTGTCCCCCCCCCTTTTGGTAAGAAAGGGTTTTGATTGGGGGAGGAAGGGGGAAAGGGACAAGAATTTCCATTTCAGATGCAGTGGGGAAGATGGCATTCCAACACCATCACCCTGTAACATCAAAAGGATATTCCCAATAACCCCTTACATTCATTCAACCTTGACTCATATGTTTGCTTTCACCGAAGCCTGTCTTTTGACAAGCCTAACCATTTAATGAAGTAACAAGTTAACCCAGTTCCTGTTTGTCTGCCGCACAGAAGCTTGGCATGATCTGGTGTAACTTGAAGGTGCTTTATGTCTTTACAGGCGGAAGAGTGAAAACATGGAAAAGGAGATGGTTTATACTGACAGATAATTGCCTATATTATTTTGAATACACAACAGTGAGTATTCTGGGTTGCAAATCATAATGTCACTTCTTCCAAGCGCAAGTTCGGGGCTGTTTACTGAGCACTGTCTTTCCTGGACTTGTAGGACAAAGAACCCAGAGGAATTATCCCTTTGGAAAATCTCAGCATAAGAGAAGTTGAGGATCCGAGAAAACCGGTAAGGCCTTCTCCTTCTTCATGAGATACCATTCTGTCAGGAACCTCTGCTTTGTAAACACAGGAAAAATCCAGATGAGCTGCATAAGAGCACAGCTTTGATCTTAATCAGCTCCTGTTCATTTGAATAGTGATAGTACTGGAGGCGTCCTTGGTGGAATGCTTCTCTAATATGATGTTCTCTTAAATGAAACTCATTATTTTGTACTATAATCCAACCTTATAGTAAATTTATAATTCTGTGCAACTCTCCCTTTCTGTTTAAAGATTTGGAAAAACACTAAATTAGAGAGAGAGAATTGCACATATGCCGTAAGAAGCCCTTGACCAGAACAGGCTGGATAGGACAAGAGCAATGACATAAAGATAACAAAAAACCAGGGTTGGTCTAATATAAATAAAGCATAGAATATTTGCTGGGGGAAAGCCTTATTTGGTGTCGCAGTAAAGTGAAGAAACCGTATCCCCAGATTAGCAACAGCAACAAAAAAATCCCTAGGCTAGTCTGATTCTTGCTTACTCTTAATTAGTGATACTTTTCCCATGTTTGGGATGTGCCAAACTTCCAGACACTGCTTTTAATACCCATTTTGCAGTTTGTTTTCAAGCTCAGTTTCAAAGACTGCGGCTGATCTTACATCATCTTCAATTCATTATATATTCATTATATATCATTTCCCAGTAAGCTTTTAACCTTACTGCAAGACTACCCCATATGTGTTTCTGTTTCCCTAGAATTGCTTTGAGTTGTATAATCCCAGCCATAAAGGACAAGTCATTAAAGCCTGTAAGACGGAAGCAGATGGCAGAGTGGTAGAAGGCAACCATGTGGTTTACAGGATATCTGCCCCCACCCCTGAAGAAAAAGAAGAATGGATCAAGTCAATCAAGTGAGTTCTTTCTCTAATACAGAAGTGCAACTTTCACCTAAAGCAGTGGTTCCCAATTAGCTAAGTACTGCAAACTGCCTCTTTCTCAAAAGCCAAGCAGTGGAGCCCTACTATTGCAAATGTTGATATCTTTGGGGTAGTTACATGAATAGTGCCACTGTGCCCTACAAGATGTCCCAGAGCAAAACTGGGTCACGCTGCTGTGCGAGTCACATGACCTGCGCGAAAGCATGATGCCCCCAAAAGGCATGTTTTAGTTTTTATCAGCCTCTTTTCTCTTTTGCAAGGAACTGTAATATTCTCAAAATGGGATTCCTCAGCTTAGAGATGTCTTTTTATATTAAGCAGAATAAAAACAAAATAAAATATGATTTAGCTTAGCCTCTGAAACAGCAATGGCTTGTGTTTGGCTGGAAAGCCAGAATAAGAGACCATTTCCTTACATAGTTTTGTGGATGATGGTTTGTGCTCACTTTGATTTGGTGAGGGGCCTGATTTGATAGACCCTAGTTACAGCTGTTTCTGGAGGCTGCTGCACCATAGATATGGTGAGCAGATAGAACGTGAAAGCAGACAAGTAAGTAGCTTTAATCTAAATCACGGTTTGTCTGGATACATGATTTGAGTTCTAAACTATGGTTAGCACAAACCATGATGTCTAAAACAAATCTCTTTGGAAATTTGTCAGTGTGGCTAGCAAATGTGCATATGTAAAAACTAACTCACATCTCCTGTTCTCTTAGGGCAAGTATCAGCAAGGATCCCTTTTATGATATGCTGGCAACGAGAAAAAGAAGAATTGCTAATAAAAAATAGCACTAACAGGGGACTGTTGTGGATCTGCCTTAGCCAAATTGCTAGTACATTATAAAGCCAAGTTAAAGTTCCGAGAAAACAAGACTTGTATTGGAAATGTAGTCACTTTCCTGCAGCATCTACCTTCTCTTTGCCCATTTATAATATTCCATGAGATGCTGGAAGAAGTTTCAAGCACATGGATCTATGTGAACTGAAAATTTGGAAACCTTATGTGCCGTTTTGTGTGTGGCAATGTGTGTCATTGAACCAGGAGGTGATGGTATGTAATCTGTCCCTCTCCTGTTTTGGGGAGCCCGTGTTCTGGATTGTGACCCGCTGCTGAATCTAGCATTCACAGCTAGCAGATTACTCTTCTTTCTGGGTATGCAGAAGTATTTTTCTCTTCCTTGTTCAAGCCTTCCCTTCCCTTCGCAATGCAGAGGAGTTTGAGTCCTGATTCAGCTCACATCCGGTCTCTGGTGCTTTCATTTAGAATCCCCATCCTCCAGCTTATGGATAGATAGGAAGGTTGCACTGAAAAAGAAACAACCGCCACAAGCCTGGCAGCTATATGATTAAGAGGCCTCCCTCTCATAAACAGATGGTCGTGCACTGAAAACATGAAGTTCTCGAAGATGAAAAGGTTACAAACATGCGTTTTGGCAGTATCCGTGTAGCTTATCTTTGGTTTTTGGATGCTTTGGAGATGTGTGGCATTGCCTCTCCAAGTGTTAGCCCGAAAAGCCTTTCCCAGGTCTCCTTTCCGTCTGGTAACATTCAGCATCATCTTATATTTGTGTAAGGATGTACTAATAATGGTTTGCAGGGCTCCAGAGTTATTCAAAAACACCAGCTTTAATTGTTCTTTATTTATTGCCACACAGGAAAATTGAGCAAGATTTTTTTTTTTTTAAATGGGAGCAAGCCAAAAAAGAGGGAGTATATGTGTGTATGTGTAAAATATTAGTTATCCACTGTTAGTAGAGTGCGCAGAATTGCCTGAATCCTTGCTGGGCTTTGCATCTTTCTTAATGAAGATGTGTGCATATAGCTGATCATTCGAGTTTTCATAAGCCATAGTTTATGAAGCTGGCTCCAAGCCCTCCCCACTTTTCACATTCTCCTGTTGTGTGCCAGCTTCCTGTGAAGATTCTGGTTTCTGTTAAACCAGAGTCCCCTGTTGCATCTGAACATGCAAACTCTGGCTTAACGTTGGTTAACAAACCAGGGCAATAAGCCAGGATCAACACCTCTGGTGGGTGTGCAGGAGAACAGGGGATGGTGGGTCCTGCTAGCCTGGGGCATGTTCAAGATTTGTGCTAAAGCACAGGTAAATGTGACATGCCAAAATGACCACTCTGTATGGTTTGAGGATAAGAAGACTCAGATTTGATTCCATTGTACTTCCAAGTACAACCAATAAATAATAGGAATAGGAAATTTGTCTGCAGTGATACCTTGGAGCTTTGAAATCACCTGTCAGTCAGGGATTGCATTTTTGTTTTAGTAAGCATAAAGCAAAAGCCTTAAGATACTGTTTGTATATTGTATGATACTGTTGGTTTATTGTATGTATGTAATTAATATCTGCAATATTCATAGGAGGAAAGCATTGGCCTGTGCAAGCAGCCACTGCTGTCCTCTCAGGTGGCAACATCTCTTATGGTTAGAGCTGTAGATATTATGGGAGGTGTAAAAACTTGATGGGGAAGGATTGTTACAGGATCAGCACTGCAGCCTCATAGGAGAATCTGAATATAAGTAGCACAGTGGCTCTAGAAGATAATGGAGGCAGCCTTCTATAGGGTGAATTAAGACATTTTTATTTAGATGTTTCTGTTTGCTGAACTCTGAAATTAGATGTAGATTTGCAGAATCATGACCAGCAGCCATGTTAGCTGGGATTGATGGGAGGTTGGAGTTCAATACCACCTGGAGGATCCATAGCTTTGCAGCATTTCACCCTAAGATTGTAGGCAATTATTATTTTTAAAATATTTTACAGAACTCTGATCCATAGTCTGGTCTGGCTTTACGCTTCCCTGGTTTCAAATTGTCACATGTAATCCCTCAGTGAATGTGTTGAAATTACTGACATTTCTAACCCATCTAATTAGCAACCCTGTTTGCAAATACTGTGTAAATGGAGTAATTGCAGTGTTCCATGAGCTTCTTGTCCAAGTGGAAAATAACACACTTCTTAAGGGTAGAGAATGTTTGCATGGCTGCAGATGTAACTGAATGATTAGGGATTGAAATTGGGCCAAACCTTTTTGCTTGCCCATGAGGCCAGTGAAAGAAAATACCTCATTTGCAGGTACAGCTTTCCATATAGGTGTAATTTTCCAGTATTTTTCAAATACTGGAATCACTTTCAAAATGAAGTTTTATTTTTATCTATTAATTCCCTCAAATTTGTTAGTAGAATGCCTGGGGGCAGGGCAAGTTATGAAAATGTCTAATTTTAATATAGTTATAGTCATTGGTACCCTACCTTGCCAAAAAACATTTGCTGAATGGCGATTTAACCAACAATGGAAAAAAATTCTTTTCTGCCTGCATTTTGGACAGATTACTGGAAGGCTTTTGTATCTTTGGGAAATTCTTTGGGGAGATTGCGCAAATATTTTTTTATCCTTTACCGAGAGATTGTAAATACTAATTTTGTTCCAAATCTCTTTAGGCAGATTTGTTCCAAAGACCTTTTCCCATTCCTGAACATATCCGAGCCTTTACTTCTGCTATTATCCAGCATACTTTGGATAAGTCTTTTGAGTTCTTCCAAGGCTAATCTTTCAGATTGTGTAACTTGCCTCAATTCTGTTCCTCAAACTGCTTGAGTTTCTTTACCAGATATTTAAAGGATGCCTTATTTCAAAGGTTTTCAACCTTTTTAGTCCACGGCTCCCTTGACCAACTACAGTTTTTGTGCGACATCCGTGGGGCTCAGGAGGCCAGTTATGTCACCCCTTACCTGCAGAGCTGGCGGCCTCTCACCCTTTTTCGAACACCCTCCCTTGTGGAGTGTTCCCTCAGCCTCTTCTCCTGTCTCCTCTACTTGGGAGTCCTCTGGGCAGCCGCTGCTACCATTGCTGGTCTCTGAGCTCCCCTCATCCCGGCCCAAAGAGAGGTGCCTCTCAGAGGCACTGTTCACCTGGGGCACTTATAGCCAGGGATGCGGCAACAAATAGCTGTGCAAGCCTTTGGGAGGCAGAGACGTGAGAGGGCATCAGAGGAGGGAGGGAAGGAAAGGACAGGCCAGTGTTGCCCGTGGCACCCCTGACCATCATTCAAGGTACCCCAGGATGCCCCGGCACACTAGAGAGAGAGAGAGAGAGAGAACTAATTCATAGGTCTAAGTATGCAGATACCAAAAGATATCTGAGGGTAGAGATTATTTATCCCAGGCATCCTGCTGTTTTTGCAGTACTGTAATGGTGCAGCTACTTCCATCATGTGATTTCTTATCCAGAGTAGTTTAATGGCCTCCTAGCAAGTTTTGTTCTAGCAAACTAAGAAAATTTTGATTGCTCTGTACCATCTGTAACAAACAACCTAGTAATATTCACAAAGATCTGCTTGTGAAGATCCCTTTTCTTCTTCTTCTTTGTTAAACATAGGTGTAAGTTAATTCTAGGGTTTTTCCTTCCCAGATAATGAATACCTTTCAGTTGTTTGCCATCTCTTTATAATCCTGAAAAAATATTTGTAGGAGGGCCAGTGTGGTTTGCCATCCTATTGCTTGGGTGAACCTTCTTTTGCTTCTCTTGTCTTTTCTCTATATCACCTTCTCGAGGGAATTCTTTGTTCTTAGCAGACTGGATGTAGGGTTCCTCTGACCAGACCTATCAGGTGCTCCTTCCTTTTCTGAGGAAATACTCTTGCCTCCAGATCCTAGTTTTTACTGGGCAGATCTAGTGCAGACTGATGCTAGAAGGGCCTGATCAATTTGCCCAGTATTTCATTTAGGTCCAATTTCCCTAGATCACCCCAGAAGTTCTGCAAACATCACTGTAAAATTTTTGACCTTTTAAAAATCATGCGCTCCGATCCCTGTTGGCTTTCCACAGCCCTGCTTTTTCTAGCATGTGCATTTAGGGGATTGAATTTAAATGGGTTGGCAATGCCGGTGATTCTTCCCTGGTTTGTTTTTGTCTGATTAAGAGTCCTCTGTCAGCAAAGAACGTGTAAACCGAGTAACCATGATGCTCTATTAAGCATCCTGCTAAAGTGCAGTGCAGCATCCTTTCTCCAGCTACAGAATGGTTGCAGATGTGTGTACGGAGCAGTATTAGTAGGGATTGAATTTGAGCCAAAACCTCCAGAGGCCAGTAAAGAAACAAGCTAATTTGCAGGAGTGGCTTGTGAAAGCTTTTGGCTTTGGTTGAGGTACTACCTTTTTGAAAATACAAAATAAACCTCTTCTTCAACCAAACTCTTGGGTCTTAGGGAATTGTAGCTTTTGAAAGCAGCGAGAATCGCAGAGGCTGAAAGCAGTGGAGGCAAATGGCATTGGGTACTTCTGTGGGTGTTATTCAGGAAGTTGTCTCCACTTCTGCCCTGTTCACATTCCCTGACCTTGTTCCATGAAGTAATAAGATTCCCCCCACCATTCTCTTATTGTGTTATCTGAACTGGGACTCATGGTTATGCACTCTTCTCCTTAATCATGAGCTGTAGCATCCCCCCCCCCCTTATTGTTTGTAGTTAAGGAGCTTAGCCATGAGGCAGGTTCAGAAGACATGCTAAGCCACAGGGACCAGGGTGGCACAAAGCGAATGCAGGCTTCCTTCCCCTCAGGAGTCAGCATGTTTGCCTGGTCCCCCCTAAGCCATAGTCATGCAAACCAGACCCACGAGAACAGAGTTAAGCTTAATGCCGTTCCCTTTTGCCCAGTGCTACTTTTCAAGCCTTGAGGACTCTGGTTTTTGAAGGGGTAAGTTTTAAAAAGCACTTTAAGTTCAGCTGGCCTGACAGGTGCTGAACCTAACCTGAGGGAGGTTGGCGGTGGGTGGGTGGGTGGGATGGAAGAGAGAATTTTGCTTTGCTCTGTCACTTAAGGTTTTGGATGTGTTGAAGTGTGCAGTACTTTATAAAGTGAGCAGCATTTACAGTGCTTCGTATTAAAAATGCCTATTTTTAAAAAAATATAGTACATATCTTTCTAGATATGCTTGCTGGAAGAAAGGTCTCTTGGATCCAGTGCAGATGTAATACTCTCTTACTGACCATTGCTTTCAAAATCAAGATGCATCCGCAGAAGCAATAAGCACTCTCTCCCCCTGCCCACAATTTCCTCTTTGAGAGTGGAAATCTTAGCATTCCATGAACACTGATGCTGCTCTGGTTGAGGGGGAGAAAGTGCGCTGGCTGTTGGCATGCAAGGAACCAGTGTTACATCTGCACAGGCCATTAGAGACCACATGCTGCAAACTAACCTGTAGCTCACCACCTTTTCTTTCTATATTTTCTTGAAGAATGTTTCTTATTGACAGTTAAATGTATATACTGTACATCTGTGTATTATTGATTTTGAAGGTTTGTTACTCTCGTATGCCAATGAATTTGCATGGACTATTCTGTATCTATAAACTGTTATACAAATATCTATGGTAATCTTGTATGACTGTTTTAAATCCACTGCAAGTATTTAGTTAACAAAATACATTGCAGAGGGAACTTCATGCTCAAAAATAAAAGTTTGAGTTCCAAGTGCTGCTTTTCTATAACATACACACGCGCCAAGCGCCTGGACCCAGAGGCATTTTGTTGTCAAGTGTGTTGGCAATCTTACATCTGAGCACGCAGACATAGGCATGACACTGGTAATTGTACTTAAATCAGACGTACACCCTGTCAGACAATATACCCCAACCCTCTTTTTCAGCAGTGATGTCTCATCTGAGGGTTGAAACACATCAACAATCTCTTTTACTCCCAACTCCTTTGGCATATCTTGACGACATCCATGTTTTCAGCTCTGCACTTAAAGGGTTATTTTAAAACAGGGGTGGGAAACCTGTAGTCCAGCAACTGGAGGGGCCAAAACTCTCATTAGCCCCAGACAGCCAGTGGGCAAGGATGGTGAAGAGGTAGTTCAAGAACATACGCTTCAAAAACTTGATCCTGTAGCAGCCAGGATGCTAGCTCTCTGCAACTGCAGCAATGGGGCATCAACCAGAGTGCGATTTCGTGAATAAAATATACAGCTGCTGTATCACTTAACCAGAGGACACACACACACTATACAGTAAGTGAGTAGTTATTACATTAAACGAGTCACCCTTAGCTGGGGATATACAAATACCACCATGAGCAGACAGCCTGAGCAGAGAGCATGAAGAATATAAACTTCGTTAAAAGTCATTGGTGTAGAACAAAATGAAAACATAACACTACACACTAGATGGAAACCAGTGTACATTGAGCAACATTGTTTTGACTTGTTGTATTTATATACTATATAAATTTTACATGCCATATATTTACAAGTGGGGCAAGTGCTTTATCTTTAAAAAAACAAAAGATCAAACTTTAGACATCTCTGAACAACACAGCTTGTATAAACCAGACAGATTATTCAGATGAACTGTATTTAATACAGTCTTCCCCACTCCGTCTCCTGATGCAGGACCAGTGAATTAAGTGTATCACAGTTTGATAGCAATTCATCATAAAAAAATTAAATCACAGTATGAATGTGTCTGTAACTAGAAACTTTTGAAGGGACAAGGACCAGACAACTGAGACCCCGTCAAGACAAGCAACGCTATAGTAAAACACAAAAACATAGTGGATGTATGAGGATGGCTCCTGCAGGCCGTTGTCGGAACGACGCAGGGGGACCCGCTGCCGCCACTGCTGTCATCTGTGGGCGCCTGAAAGAGCCATGGAACAGATGCCCGGGACAGGCAGCTGCAAGAGTGGAATCAAGGAGAGGCGGAGAGGCAAAGAGACAGGAGACAAGGGGAATAGAAGCTAAACATGGGGCGGGGGGAGAGTAGGGGAAGGAGAGAGAGAGAAAGTGCACAGAACAGGAAAGAGGAAGCCCCACAGAGTGAACAAGAGCCAACGGCAGAAGCCTTCAGTGGAGGAAAACTGAAACGCAGCGAGAGAGTGTAGTGGGAGAGACAGAAGGAGAGGGGGGCAGACATCTCTGCACCAGCCTTCACAAGTTCATGGGTGAGACGACAAGCCTGGCCATTCAAACACCCTGAAAATGGCCGGCTGGCAGGTGGTTGGCGACATTGCAGGGCCCAGAGAGACAGCCCTATACATGGGAGTGGCCGCAGCAGGCAAGGGGTCTTCAGACATGTTCCAAGATACATTCAAAAACTGGTAAAGAGTCCGAACGGCACGTTTCACATAGTCCAAGACTGGAATCCGACGGGGTGGGAGGGAATGGATCGAGTTTCTAGTAGCAGACATCACAGAAAAAACAGATGAAGCTCTTGCAAAAATTCTAGTTGTATGTGAAATTTTTAAATAAGTCTTTAAATTAAATAAGAGACTATCAGTTGCAGCTTGATAATTCTGTGGTTTCCTCGCCCCTTTGCACCAGGTGTGTAGACTTGGAGCAACATCACATGAATAACACAATCAACCTGAGTCTGTAACTAAGCAGCATTTGAGATGTTCTAATTCCAGGGCATTAATTACTGTGACATTTACAGGGTATATTTTATGATGTTCAGCAGTTGTAGAAAGTTTCCATCCATTTTTTTTTGTTTCTTTTTCTTTTTTTGGATTGCAGGTAATTTAAAAAAAAGTCTCAAGGTAAAAACTAAAAAAAAGGGTTTCTTTCAATGGTAAAATTCTGTACAGTATTTCTGAAGCACCAATTATGAATTAAAGAGTTAATCGCTTTTCGGTTTATAAATATACTGCGGGCTGTGGAGGGATGGCTTCCAGCAGACACTCTGGATCTGAAAGAAGAGAAGAGAACCAGGTTATTATTGGATGCCTAGATCTGAGATGAGCTTTTATCTAGTTCCTTAATGGCACAGCACAATTGTGCGGCTGTGTCACACAAGCTGTAACAACTGCATCACTGACAATTCCAGCACTGAATAATCCTCGAATTGTTTCCTGCTTTCCTTGAGCCTTCAGCAGCAGAGAGTGAAATGGGATCACTCTCCCATCAATCACTCTCCATCAGTCTGGCTAAGAGACCAGCTGCCGTTTGGCTCCACCCCTCCCTGAAATGTCTCCGTTCAAGCTGGTCATAGGAACAATTATATTAGTACCAGAGTTTGCTGGTTTTCCCATTCCTTCCCTCTTTTTATGACATAATCATTGGCCTGCAAGCTTGTGGACAGGAACTGTTTCGTTTTCTAACTCTTTGTACAGCACCTAGGAAACTTTGCAGGTTTTATAAACGATCCCTAATAAACCATGCTAACCAAACTCAGTGGTTCAGCATCTGCTTTGGATGCAGAAGGTTCCAGGGTCAGTTCCTGGCTGGCAAAAGACTCAAGTCTGAAGCCAGGGACAGGCGCTGCCAGACAGTGTAGACAATACTGAGTCTGACTCAGTATAAAGCAACTTTCTATGTTCCTATGATATTTTGAAGCCCCTGAGGAAGCTTAGGATTACATCAAGCTATTAGCAGCATAATGAAACATGCACTGTTGACTGAATCTCGGGTTAAACAGCACCTTGATGCAATCATTTGTCAGGAACGCAGCCATTTTCCATTTGGATACAGAAGGTGGGGAGCTGTTGACATGTTGGGACAGTCCTATGGTTGGCCTGGGAGCTCTGAGGCAGCGCAGACAAAGCAGCCTTAGCATGATTCTGGGTTCCCAAACTGCTGTCATGAATTGTCCAGGTTTATGAAAGCGAAAGGGAGGACCACTAAGTCTTATGGGTGGGAATGCCTGCTAGAGGTTATCTCACAGACAGTGTGATATAATGGCTATAAGGCTGGACCAGGGAGGGCCATTTCCAAGTGGAAAGCTCTGCCTGACCTACCTTCACACAGATCCTCATAAGGATAAAATGGAAGGGGAACAGTGCATGCCGTGTCTTGAGCGGATGAGATAGAAATGTAATAAAACAAAATAAGAGGACTCCAGAGGTTGCCCGGGAGTGGGAGGGAGAGCTGCTTTACAGCAACTTCTGCCAGCGTGGGGATCCCCCAGGGATTCTGGGTGGCTACTCTCATCAGCTCCAGCCACCCCACTGGGGGTGCTTGTCCAAAACCACTGGAAGCTCCCCATGAAGGCGAAGGCTGCTCTACAGACACCACTTGGAAATTCCCCCTCCACTTACCTACGTTACGATCTGTAGGTGGGCAGCAGCTCTCTCTGTTGCTACCTTCTAAGCTCTTGGTTTTCTGGCAAACAGTCTCTCCATCCTGAGGGCCCTTGCCCTGTTTCCTATATGCCTCCGAAGAAGAAGACTCAGTCATTTCCCATGCTTTGAGATTCTTGGTTTCCAAGCTGGTTGGCTTGGGAAGACGAGAAGCTGACGTTTCGGCACGCTCTTCTTTCTTCGTGCGTTTCTTCTTCTTCTTCTTTTTCTTCTTATGTTTATGCTTGTGAGTCTCGGCCTCGGAGCTGGATACAGACGGGTCCGAATCCTGGTGGTACCTGAAGGAAGCGGAAGCAAGTTAACAGGAAAATCAGCAATGCAAGCTCCTGGAAGGCAACAGGTTCTTCAGCCAAGAGGAAATTGTCCTGAGTGGGTCACTCCTCCCACTTATCCCGGGTGTGTGTGTGTGTGTGTGTGTGTGCGTTCAAATGAGCGCAGACATTATTCCTACCCAGTTCATAATGACAGAGTGATTTCAGAGTTTCTGCTGGGTTTGACTGGGTTTTGAGCCTCCCTACATTTCATTAGGTAATGTGGAAAGGGAGCCAACCTTAAGAATGCAAGATGACCAGTGGTCCACCAAGTAGTCTAATCCTCCTTTAAAGACATCCAAGTTAGTGGATGGGCAAGGAAACTTAGGGAAGGGCCATGACTCAGTGGTAGGGCACTGCTTTGAATGCAGAAGGTCCCAGCTTCCATCCCTGACACCTCAAGGCTGGGCACAGAGAGACCCTTGTCTGAAACTCTGAGGAGCCATTGTCACTCAGTTGTGATGATACTGAGCTAGATGAACCAATGGTCTGGCTGGGGATAAGGCAGCTTCCTTTGCTGCTGTTCACCTAGAGGAGAGGGCATTCCCTCCATGGAGAGGCTCATGGTCACAGCTCACACACAGCTCAGTCTGCTATGAGTAACATGACCTGCTTGTTGTTTGCTGCCTTGGGATCAAAGACACGCTATATTATCTTTATTGCTTTTGTTTTCCCACCCTGAGGAAGAAGAGTATGACTATTCCCATTTTCCAGTTGGGGGACTGGGGTTGAGAAATAACTGTCAAGCCCAAGGTCACCAAAGTTATTCCACCGGGGGTTTCTTGTTGTTATTATGTTATGCGCTTTGTGTTCTTGTGTTGTAAACCACCCTGTGATCTTCGGATGAAGAGTTGTTTATTAAGTAAATAAATAATGGCTTACGTGAAACTTCCTACTCGATCCTCAGTGTAATTCACTAGCACCACAAAGTTCTAGTCACTTTCCTAATTAATAAGGCAATAAATCAGGGCGGCCCAGCTTTTCATACCAAGTGGGTTGCAAGAGTACTTCAACATGGAACCCGTGGGTCACACACTGCCTTCTCATGCGGGGCAGGGAGCATAGTGCACTAAATCAACCCTCTTCCCACACCGCAATTTAAGGTCTGCTAAAGGATTCCATTTCAAGAAGCAGGACCTTTCCTGCTGTGGCCCTAGAGCTTAGTGTGCCCCCCCCACCCAATGGGAAGAACAAAAGGTCCCCTTCTTGCTTTTGTGCCACAACCAGCGTAAGCTTTTCCTCTTCAAACCTGCCTTGGGCAGCTGATCTGCTAATACACTTTGGACCTGAGATTAGCTTCGTTTATTTTATTAGTGGATTTTAAACAGAAAGTGTTTATGAATGAAACATAGGATGCTTCCATACGCCAACGAAGTTGTACCGCTGGCTCCATCTAGCTCAGTATTCTATACACTGACCAGAACTGCTTCTTTGGGATTACAGGCAGAGAGAGAGAGAGAGAAAGCTATTTCCCATAGCTGGCACTTCCTGACCCATTTCAACTGGAGATGTTGGGGATTGAACGTGCAAAGGAAGCTATGGCCCCTTCCAAGTGAAAAACAGTAGAATTAAAAATAATTAAAAAATAAATGCCGGTGCACTGCAGAAACCACCACATTGCACAGGTACCAGCTAGTTCGAGAAGCGGCAAGTCAGTTCCCATTCCAGGGTCATAAGCAACTGTCAGGGGAAGACCATAAAGCTTCACAAAAGTTGGGTGTGTGCCCAACGCTAGTCGTACTTAAGAGTAAGGCTCTATCTCCCTTAGGCCTCCCCCCTGACAATAGGCACGGGGAAGCAGCCATTCCATTAGACTGCCTCCGTGGGACAGACAGGAAAGCTCAGCACCTCCTACCATTGGAATGTGCCAGCCGGTCACTGTAAGAACTGCTTAAGAATTGGTGCCTGAGTTTGATTCCACCCCCTCTCTTGTGTGCTTTCCAGATTGCAAACCTGTGGGGAGGGACTGTCTTGCTAGGTAAGCCTCACTAGGAGCCTTCTTAGCTGAAGGGGACTACAAATGCTCTAAAATAAAGGAGTAGACCCGCAGAAATTAGCAGACATGGCTAATGGCAGGTCATTAATTTCAGCTGGTCAACTCCAAGTAGAACTTATTTGGGAATAGCCCTGGGCTCCTGCCACTGGCTTACCCCCCCCCCTCACCAACTTTGCACTAACCTGGAATCTCGCTCTCTGTGTTTGCTTTTCAACTTCTTCTTCTTCTTCGACTTCTTGTGCTTCCGCCCTCTTTGTTCCTCAAGAGACTCACTCTGCGAGAGCTTCCTATACCTCTTTTCCGGGGGGGTCTTGCTCCCCTCGGGGCTCTGGCACCTCCTCTTCCTTTCCTGGTCGTGAGTCCACCTGCTTTTATAATGGTCGTACTTATACGGGCTACTGTAAACATGACTTGATTTGCTATAGTCTCTCTCGCAGTGAGTGAATTTCCTATCTTGATTGTACCTGGGGCCGTGGGAAGAATAGTAGTAGCTGTAAGGCCTGCAGCTCTCCCATCTCCTCGGGCCATCTTGGTAATACCGCTCCTTGCTCCATGACTGCTCCCCTTTCCCGTAGCAATGCCTGCTCCGTTCAGGGTCCGTTTTGCCTCTGCTGCGAGATCTGTAAGAGGGATATTTCCCCATGCCCCTCTCAGGATCAGGGCTGCATGGGAATCTGTAAGAGTTTGCATTGTAGTATTCTCGCCGGTAGTGCTCCTGCTTGGCTCGCTCCCTGCTGTAGGAGCACCACTTCTTGGGGTAGTGCCCTTCTGGCTGGCCCCGGGGGGCCACTGCTGCCTCCTCCTCCTCGCTTTCAGAGCGCTTCCTTTTGGAACGGTAGTGCTCTTTGTCTATTTTTTTTGAGGTGGATATTTTTTCCTTAAGGGGCGAATGGGATTTCAACTCTTGCCTTTCTGTATTTCCTATGAACTGTTTGCTGCTGCTGCTCTCTCCCAATCTGCCGTCGTCCTTCAAACACTGGCTTCCTCCAATGGGGTCCAGCCTTGTAACGGAAGGTTCATCAGGAGGCGGGACATCCTCGTAGCGTTCCGCACTGTCTTGTGTTTCTTGGCATTTTTCTGCCACGTTGACAGTGGCAAGCTTTGGAGAACTACATTCACCGTCGGACCTTGTAAGGAGGGGGCTATGCACCCCCTTTTCTGCTGCTCCCCTGACAGGCTCAGGGCTCTTTTCCCAAGCTGCTTTCCCTTCTTTTGGTCCCCTCATCTTTTCAGGATGGTCCTCCACATCACCTTCCCTAGGGAAGTCTTCCTCTGCTCCCAACGAACTGGATTTCGGGTCGTGCTGCCCATCACTCTCAAGAGGCGTGCTCTCTGTTTCGGCAACAGTCCTTTCACAGGGGTCTTCCGTCGTAGAGGTGATTTCAGGGTCTGAAGGGGCCAAATGAGTCTGGATGTTGTTGGGAAGAGTACTGGCTCCCTCTTCAGAAGGGCCGTCTGTTTTTTCTGTTCCACTACTGCTGCACATGAGAAAGAGAGAGATGCCACTCACCAGAAAAACAAATATACAGCAAACATTACATATACCCTCACACTTTTTTCAGCTTCTGGAAAACACTTCTCTCAAAGCAGAATAAAAGTCACAATATAAAGTACATGTACCAAGATGGTTTTAGAAACTCTGTTATTGTGTGGACACAGTAACTTCATTCACGTGTCACAGTAAACCACAGGTAATGTCTAACTGTGATCCCTACCTTAAGTGTTATGTCTAAACCAGGGATCAAGCTTTATTTTGCCTCAACAAACCACAGTACGTAGAAGAAGAAGAGTTTGGATTTGATATCCCGCCTTTCACTCCCCTTCAGGAGTCTCAAAGCGGCTAACAATCTCCTTTCCCTTCCTCCCCCACAACAAACACTCTGTGAGGTGGGTGAAGCTGAGAGACTTCAGAGAAGTGTGACTGGCCCAAGGTCACCCAGCAGCTGCATGTGGAGGAGTGGAGACACGAACCCGGTTCCCCAGATTATGTGACTACCGCTCTTAACCACTACACTACACTGGCAAATATCCCCCCCCTTGGCTTACTGATCATCATTTATTGGGAGTGGAACAAACACAATCCCTGCTTTGGACATTATGTTAACCCAGGGGGGGTTGGGTTGTTTTCTTACAGCACAAATGGAAGCCTCAAAACAAACCAGAAAGGGGCAATCACAGTAAACTATTAACTATGGTTCAGGTCTAATTTTCTGATGATATTATGAACTTACATGCTTTGCTTCTATGTTTTCATTTTCCTTTATTATTCATGTTTGCACTACGTATTGTTACAATGCTGTTTTTGAAAAACCAATCAACTCTGCATTTAACTCCACCCCCCCCACCCCATAAATTTACTGTGATGCGCTAACTGACTGGGCCAATCTTACACTGAAGCAGAATTTTCAGAAATCTGCCTTGGAGCACCACTGTTGATAGAACATTAAATCCCACAAAGTATAAATGCTCCAAAGTCTTGTGTTCTTTTAAGGGAATGAAAGAAGATGGTAGCTTGCTACAATCGAGAAAGAATTTGTTCTACCATAGCTCTTACAATTCTATTTAGCCACGGAATACACTCTGTCTTTAAACGAAGTCTTTGGGTCACTAATTTACATCAGGAATGTGGACTTCCAGATGTTGCTGGACTGCAATGCCCATTATCGGCTGCGCCTGATAAGAGTTGGAGTCCATCAACATCTGGAAAGACAAAGGTCCCCATCCCTGTTTTAAATGCTCAATGTTGCCCAAGCTTTAGAAATCTCAAGAGAGATCCATGTTTAGACCGTTTTCAGGACAATTATATAGAACTACTTTCTGGAGTATATTAGCATAAGGTGCACAACACCAGATGTTGTTGAAGAGAAGGCACAGCCCAAAGATTAAGCTCTGATTTCCACAAACCCTGCACTTATTTCCAAACAAATGGCTGCAGATCCTACAGAACTAGGCATCAGCAATATACTGTGTGAAAACACACGCGTCTGAAGGAAAGCGTATTGGAAAAAGCACATGTGTTTTACCTTATTTCCCCTGATGAGGTTTTCAGTTGATTGTATCTGAAAGAGTCTAAGATCCTGTCTTCAGGGACAGGGGGCAAAGCTGTAGGCACACCCTATTATTGAAAACAAATAAGGTTAACATGCAGTATCAACCAATAGGGACAACAATTACTTTAAGTGCTTGTGAGAAACAAATTGCCGTCCTTCCTCACACGGGTAAGAGGCGTATTAGCTAAGACTGGCTCCCACCAAGTACCATGCTCAACAAACACCAACTAGAAAAAGCAAAAGGAGTTTAAGTAGCTGCCTTATACAGAGTCAGACCCCTGGTCTGCTGAGCTTGGTATTGCTAAGGGCTTGCTAATGTGGTGCCTCCAAACTTCACTGAAGCTGTTTTGGCACTCCTTGAATAAGAAGCAAAGGTCTTCAAGTCGAGCAGTACGAGTAAATGACACCAGCTTTTGCCATCCCTCCAGATGTTTTGATTTACATCTAGATGAATTACACAACCCAACCAACTCTGCCTATATTGGCTTACATCAATAACTTCACTTGTGGGATGGTTTGGACTACAACTCAGTCATCCCTGACCTCTGGCCACGCTAGCCGTGTCTGATGGGAGTTGTACCAGGTTGTGGAAAGCTGCCATAATGCAATGGCAGGTGTGTGGGGTATCCCCACAGCCATGCTGATAAGCCACAAGTCCGATGCAGACGGAATGGTGGTTTGGAATCTGGGAAGTGGCCCCAGAAATGCTCACTCACCAGGAAGGATGGATAACCTCTGCCCTTCCTAGATTAGCCATGGTTGTCTACACCAGCGCCAACCATGGTTAAGGTTGCACCAGGACTCCCATCCCAGCTGGAATATGAAGTGGATTTACAAACCCCGGTTAAGAGGGAAACTGATTAGCGCTAGCCGCCACTGTTAGCATCATGGAATGCCGAAGCACAGGTAAGATCTACAAAGGGAGAGGGGAGAAAGGATTCATGCCACAGTGCAGAAGGAAAGGAGCATGGGTCTTGCTATCAACAGCTTCAAGTTTATTTGTATCCAGCCTTCCTTCCATAGAACAAAAAAGCTGTGTGCACAGGATTCCCAGGCAGTCTCTCATCCAGGCCCCAACTATACTCAGACTCTCCTAGCTCCAACAACACTGTTGCATCATGGGACTTCAAGACCACACCCTAGACCACAGACTTTGCAGGCCATGGTTTGAAGGGAGCTGGCATCACACCTGCACTGAGCCACAGAAGCTGGAGCGGAAAAATACTCACTTTCCCAGGCAACCCATTTGCTTTGGAGAACGGGTTTTCGGCTGATTTAGCAGGCTTTGCTTGGCTAGTGGAATCGTTGCATATCTGTCCGTTTTGTTTAGGGGTATCATTTATACTAATGGAAACAAGAACGGTAATGTTTTTCGGCGCTTCGTGCTGCGGAGCCTCCTTCTCGGCGTTGTGACACGACAGACAAGAGCCCTCCAATGCGCTGGCTGCATTTTCAGCTAGAATGCCGTTGAGAGGGGCAGCGTGGCCGTTCTCTTTCACCAGTCCTTTGGACTCCTCGTCGGAGTCTTCAGAAGATTCTGCCCCGTAAGGGACCAACGTGCTCGGGTTCAGCTTGGACTTGCCATTCACTACCAACTTGGAGCAAGGTTCGCTCGGAGGCATTTGCTTAGGGACTTGGTTAGGAGCCGAGACGGCAGGTGCGCTTGAGGTAGATTGCACAGCAGCAGGGCTGGAAATGGTCGAGGACGGGGCAGGCTTGCTGGGGTTGTCCAAGGTACAGCTGGCGTGAGAGACACTTTGGCGAGCGGACAGCTTGTTGTGAATACTGATGGTTATTTTTTGCTTCTTGGAAGGGTCGGGAGTGGCGGCGGTGGTAGGCCTGTTCATCGTCCAGTTTGGGATAGACATGGCCGGAGGAGCGGAAGATGGCCTGGTGAGGGTGACGTTACTAGCGATTGCCACAGAACCGCTGGGAGTTTCTTTCAGGGATGCCGTTCCATTCAAATGATTCGAATTCTATGAATGAAAAAGAAATCCTCTGAGAAAGCGAAGCCTATGTAGAAACTAGCTTACAGCAGAAAGGCAAAATTTATATTTGTTGCTCCACCCACTTTCATATCTGGCTCCACCTACTGGTATGTGGCCCTTGGAAGGCTGCCCAGAAAGGAGTGCGGCCCTCAGACTGAAATAGATCCCCCTACCCCCGCATTAGAGCAACAAATGTACATAATTTGTTGTATCGAAAACCCAGATTCCCACTAGAGTCGTACCTCGGAAGTCGAACAGAATCCGTTCTGGAAGTTTGTTCGACTTTCAAAATGCGGCTTCTGAGTGGCTGCAGGAAGTTCGGCTTCCAAAAGAACGTTCGAAAACCAGAACACTCACTTCTGGTTTTCGATCGTTCAGGAGCCGGAACTTTGACTCCCAAGGTCTTTGGGAGCCGAGGTACGACTGTACTTGTTTGAGAGCAAAATTTCTGTAAATGTTGCAACATTTACTTTCCAGGTGTTTCACCTGCATTGCAACAAGAGACTCAGAGCAGTTACAATAACTTTCAGAGCTACAAGATTTCAGTAAACCCTTGCTGCCTAACTTGCTACCTTTATGCCGTTGGCTTCAGAAGAGAGAAGTACCTTAATCATGTGAGGGGGTAGTTGTGGTCCAATAAACCCTGGCGCAGTCTGCTTATTGACCACCCGCTGATTGATAACAGGTCGAGGAGAAGACTGCCCAGGAGTGTGAACGGAATGAATGTGTTCGCCGCCATTTTTCATGTCATGGGACCTAACAAATAAAAGACATATTGATCCACATTTGTTGACTAAATTTCTTTCTTTCTTTCTTTTTCTTTTTTTGCACAAACCTATTTCTACCATTGAGGGACGCGGGTGGCGCTGTGGGTAAAAGCCTCAGCGCCTAGGGCTTGCCGATTGAAAGGCCGGCGGTTCGAATCCCTGCGGCGGGGTGCGCTCCCGCTGCTCGGTCCCAGCGCCTGCCAACCTAGCAGTTCGAAAGCACCCCCGGGTGCAAGTAGATAAATAGGGACTGCCTACTGGCGGGAAGGTAAACGGCGTTCCGTGTGCTGCGCTGGCTCGCCAGATGCAGCTTTGTCACGCTGGCCACGTGACCCGGAAGTGTCTCCGGACAGCGCTGGCCCCCGGCCTCTTGAGTGAGATGGGCGCACAACCCCAGAGTCTGTCAAGACTGGCCTGTACGGGCAGGGGTACCTTTACCTTTACCTTATTTCTACCATGAAATTCTCCCTAGGGCTCCTATGACTTATTTGTCTCTCATGCTTTCAGTCCTAGTTGAACGTTCTAACCACTACACCACACTGCTATGGCTAGCAGCAGCTGCCAAAACACCATAGCAGACTTGCTACAGAAGTTGGCCAAAGAACAGAAAAGGGAAGACAGATAACATGCTTTTGACGTATTTGCAAGACTGCTTTCACTCCTTGCAAGGCAACACCCCATAATGACTGTGGAGGGATGTCAACCAATTTAGGTTACCCAACTGGCTAAACAGCAAATGCTGGTCGGTTTGTGTCTCTGCTTGAACCAGCTCCCCCACAATCCGTGTGCCAGATGCCGAAGAGTCAGTGAGTGCAGAAGGGTATTTGTATCCAGTGACTAGCATTGTCTGGCTAACAGGCTTCAAGTTAAGCCAAGAGTGGGTAAACTTCAACTTTGTGGAAATCTTCCTTTTTTAACTAGAAACCCAATGTCTACCAACTGGAGCCAAGTACACAGTTGTGGTCTTTAAGGTGGTTGAACCAGATGTACTAACACTGGCCAACAGAGTTACAGGAAGACTTGGTGAGGAAGACAGCAGTTAGCACACGTGCTTCAGAGACAAGTAAGGCAGGAGAAATCAGCACATTTTTAAAAAACCAGCACATTTTTGCTTGCTCCTGCTGTCGCTACAATCTTTGGTAGTCGGAAACCCTTGCCGATCTATGGCAAACCACCCAGATGTCTACCAGTAGATAGACCTTCTTTCTGCCTGCCCCAATTTCAGCCCTTGAATTAGGAATAATTTCTCAAAACCCAAAAGGCTTTAGACGTAACTAACAATGATGCAGGCACAGCGCAAGGAAAATCAACTTGCATATACCCGATATAAAAAAGTACGTAGGCTTGTTGATTCAATACAGTCCTGATGTCACTGTTTGAGACGGTGGAGTCATTCATCTGGTACCACTGCCCGTTACTGGCCTGCAAAAAAGAAGAAGAAAACGTTATTGTCATCTTTGCAACTGGTTACAACATGGCAGTGTTTTTACGCAGTGCTTGAGCACACAGTGACATCTCAAAGTATTTTAGGATGTTGTGATTATCTAGATCAGGAATGAGGGACTGGGGGCCTTCCAGATGTTGCTGGATATTTAGTTATTTCATGAAATTTATATGCCCCTTGATTGTAAAACAAACACACATCTCAAAACGGTTTACAGGAAAAAAGGCTACCTCTCCCATTACCCTCTGCCTGCAACTGATGGAAGCTAAGAGTCCAGGAACATTTAATAATAATACTACTAATAATTTTATTATCTGTACCCCATCCATCAGACTAGGTTTCCCCAGCCACTCTGGGCAGCTTCCAACAAATATAGAAGCATAATAAAACATTTGGTGGACTAGTAGCTCAATGCCCTCCCATCAGATGTCCAGGAAATAAACAACGATCAGACTTTTATAAGACATACGAAGTCATCCCTGTATAGGGAACTTTTTAATGTTTGATGTCTCACCACAGTTTTATAATTGTTGGAAGCTGCCCAGAGTGGCTGGGGAAACCCAGTCAGATGGGCGGCGTATAAATAGTATTATTTTGATGGACCTCTGCAACTTTCAATATCATTGGCAATAATAGCTCCAGAAGTGCCTTTCTAGGATGTGGCTGAAAGGAACTGATGAATGGTGGGCACTTCCTGGAAGTGGTGCTACAAGCCTCCAAGGCCTGCCCCACATAGTTTTATTCTATCCCCTAGTAGCAGGATCCCATCTAACACGCATCCTTCAGACCTCTGCAGAGGAAGATGCAGATGACCTTACCCCAGCTGAAGACCAGGAGGAACCCACAGTAGCTCAAGGGTCTCTTCCAACTCTATGATTCTATGATTCTATAGGAGTGCTCTGATGGTGTTTCCTGCTTGGCAGGGGGTTGGACTCGATGGCCCTTGTGGTCTCTTCCAACTCTATGATTCTATGATTCTATGATTCTAAGGGCAGCCTAAGAGACACTGCATCCCCTCCCCATTTTAAGTCTGGCCTTAATCACCAATTTCTCCAACACCAAACTTAGACCTCAGGAGCGAAGGTGGCAATAGAGCTAATGGGAAGTCCCAAAGTCACCAGAGGAACGTTCATCTGGTTGCCAAGAAAGCTCTATCACCAGGGCTCTATTTAGAAGGGTCTACGTGGGAGGAGGACAAAGACGCCACTGCAAGCAGTGACAGAGATGGAGATGGCAGTCTCTATGTCTTTTATGGACATTTGCTGGGTTAACAGCTCCCTTCCAAGATCATTAATCTCCTGCGCTCCCTGGCTCAGCTCCTGTGCCAGTTCTGACTCTGGTTCCATCCTCCCCACCAGGTGTTGCTCACACCCATTTGTAGTCTTTAACATCCATGCGGAATCGCTGGGAGGACATCATCCAGAGTTTTGGAATGTCCTGTCATCATAACGCAGATGGCACACAGTTCTACATCTCCTTTCCATTAAAAACCCAGTGGGTCATGAAAGTCTTGGTGCCACAACTGAAAAGGCCTTCTTCTGCCAGGTACCTGCCCACCATATCAGATGGTGGCAGGACCAAAGAAGTGCCTGCAAAATGGAACAAAGGTCCTGGGGAAAGTTCACACAGCTGAGGAGCAAGGGATTTAATTCCTGAGATATCATAGGAAGGTAGACCAAATTCTGAAGCAGTCCAGCCTATGTTGCCCAGCTAGTTCTCCCAAATTATTCCATCTCGCAAGCATACTAGGTATCATGTCCAGCAGACATGATAGAAGCAGGAAGAGAAATTTGTGTGTTTGATGGCACTTTGAGATCAGAATTTTCAGAATGCCAAGTTGAAAGAGAAAGTAAAGTGGAAAAGTTAAAAGCTGACTAAGAGTTCATCCATCTCCTAAATATATTTTTTAAGGGACAGTAAATAGCTTAAGTAGACTGTTTATAATATGCCAGGAAACCATAATCTCTCTTCTGCCCCCAAATAATGCATTCAAGTTTTGGCATCTTTTCCGTCCAACTTTTTTGCTCCATGCATCCACATAATTTGTAAGACCTTGTAACAGGCATAATTGTTAACTGTACCCTATTATCAACATAAACAAAGCTGCTAAGTGCACCTAATATTACCATACACCATATCCACTGATGTCTCCCAGTGTGATGTACTTAATTTCACGCATCAAAATTCCAGCAGCAGTATACACTGAATAATTTATATTCATAATTTCTCACGCTTCTGAGCAAGGTAAGTGGTTGATTTCATATGCTCCAGATTCTAACATAGGGACAGGGAACTGGAAAGCACTAACATCAAGTGGATTTATGATATTTAGAAACAAAATGTCCCAATCTTAATTGAAAAATGGCACTCTTGGGACCAGGCAGCAAGAGAAAGCCTGCCCTCCGGTGGAAGAAATGTGAAAGTGCACCATAAATGTGGAGATGACGTAAAGTTTGGCAGGTTAGCAAAAGGAACGGGAGGAATTCCCACAGGATTCATGTTTTAGAGAAGGCTTCCTTTTGAGCAAGATCTATGCTAGAAGTCCGTAGCAGGGATGGGGAACCTGTGGCTGTCCAGATGTTGCTGGGTCCAGCTCCCATCCGTCTGGGATGATGGAAACTGCACTGCAGCAACATCTGGAGGGTCCATGGTATGTTCCTACTGAAAGGCATAGGAAGTGGGGTGCAGCAGTGCACATATGTCTTGGACTAGGGAGACCCAGGTTCAAATCATCAGTCAGCTGTGACTGTCACTCTCTCTTAGCCCAGCCTACCTGCGGAATTCTTAGGATAAAATCACATATGTTGCTTTCAGCTCACTGGAGAAAAGGAAGAATTTAAGTGCAACAAATAAAACAGGACGATTCTGAAGTTATCACAGTCCATACTGGCCATTTAGTCCTCCCAAATTATTCCACGTCACAAGGGCAGAATCACATTTCTACAGGCACAAGACAGTAATGCTGGATAGGTCAAATCGCATCCTACCATTATAAAGCCTGGACATTATTATGTTAATAAAACCTGTAAGATTTGTCCCAACTGTCTGAAATTTGGCAGAGAGGGTTATTTGTGTGTTAAGTGCCGCACGCTGCCCACATTTCAGGCGGGTTCGGTGCAAAACGTTTGAGATGTAGCAGCTTAAAGAATTCACCATTTGAGACAAATCTGGCTTCTTCCATTCATTTCTGCCAGGTATAACATACCTTCAGAGTTCTTGTTTTTTGCCCCTTTAACCGAGTCCAAAAATTCGAGGGAATAGCAGAGGCCTTGCCCTTCCTGTTTTGATAAAAACCCATTGTGTATTTATCAGCTTACACAGTTTTAAAACCTCAGTACATTTCCCAGCAACAGCAGTAACTACAAGGAAGCCCATGCTCAGAGCCTCTGTTCACATGCCCAGCTTGAGTCTCTTCCCTAAACAAAGATGGCCACCCTGCAGGGAGTTGGATTAGATGACCCCTTAGGGTCGCTTCCAACTCTATAATTCTATTCTATAACCATAAGGGGGGAAAGGCTGGTTGTGAACAAGTTTTTGTGTGTGTGGTGCCTGCAAGTGGCTATGCCTATAGTGACTAGACCACTCAGGAGGGATCTTTATTGCTAAGAATTGAGTCCACCACATCACATATTGATGAGATACTCAAGGCATGTCACCATGCAGGAAATGATCGAAGCGGTAATCAGAAAAAAGGAAAATAACTAAGGGCTACAGACAGTTAAGCTAAAAACATGATCAAGTATAAAGGCAAGACATAGGCAGTTACACAGGATGAAACTGTTCAGGCTTATCACCACAAGAAACAAAAATTATTTTTCATCCAAGATACTGCTGGATGCTATATTTCAATAGCTGAAATAAATGCATCCTGGGACTTGCAGCTGACAGCTAATTTTACTAACAAAACAGCATTTCAGACTGTTTTCGAACAATCTTACTTCAGAGGATTAGTATGAAGTTTCTAGTGTCTGGCATAAATCATCCTCTCCCCCCCCCACCCCAAGAGTCTTGTACGATTTTGAAATTAGATTTTTTTGGCAGCACAAATAAATCTGTTGCGTTTATTCGGCTACTCAAACACCTTAACTGACAATACAAATGGTAGATTACAAAATAAGAAAATGAATTGTGGGGGAACAGATATCTTGATCACGTTTATTCTACCTAGAAATGTACATTTTAAAGCATGTCAGCATTTTAAATTGGAGTCCATTTTGCTAACTGAAGGAAAAAAAATGTTTTTACTTAGCTTGGTATTATTGCCAGACAGATAGCCTAGTGCCACCAGTCCAAAAAAACCTACTGATTTTTCTTGCCACAGAAACTAGTCCTAGTTTCTCAACTTGCTAGTCCAAGGAATTCCTAAACTCTGTTTAGGCTGGTACCACAGATTTTTGTAGATTAATTTTATACCCTGCTAACTGTATAATGATGTTTATAAATTATTGCTTTTACTGACAAAGACAAGTCAAAGCAAAAGACAATGCGGCTGGTTTGGATTCTGTGTGCAAGCTGAAGATCACATATCAGGAAGAAGAGATCAGAGGCATCCATTTCTGATTGACTAACCACAGCTACTTGTCAAGCTCAAATTCGGGGCATTCTTGTTTGAAGTCTACTTAGTTCAAACAAACCAGGATCAAACCATGGTTTATGAACCATGGGAGTTCTCCACGTCTGGTCATAACAGGCAACTGTGGTTTAATATTAAACGTAGAATCTTCCATTTAATCACCTCTGGCGTGTGAAAGCAAGCCTTGCATATGAGCAGTTCATCACCGGTTGTCCTTCAGAAGCTGTTCAATCCCATCTTTCCTGACCACCAGCCATGCTGGCTGGGATCAATGGGAGTTAGAAGTCCAGCACCATCTGAAAGGCCACAGGTTCCTCATTCCTGGCTTAAGGAATCAGTTTTTCACACCGTGAGGAGGCTCACAGAAAAACAGCAATCTAGCAGTCAACAACTGTCAAATTAGAAAAGGCTACCACCAAGTCGACCAAATGAACTCCAGAATAAGTGGATTTTATACGCTTTCCAGAAGAACAGTTCTAAACCCGCATCAAAACAGATTCCACAGCCCTGTGGCCATGACAATTAAGGCCCAGCTCCACGTGGCTGATATGCAATGAAAACACAAGGGAGCAGGGTCTGGCCCACAGAAGCACATGTTGGGAAAGGTGGTCCCTCACTCCGTAGAATCTGACCTTCAACTGAACCAGGAACATGAAAACCAAGTGAAGCTGAAATTTGTGAGGAGGCTGTGGAATCTGAGCAGAGGCAAGACTACTGCAGCAAAACAATAAGAGATGACAACCAGCTTCAAGGCAAGGAACGGGCTAAGAGGAACACAACAGAAGGATTTTCCTGTGTATCCAAGCAACAGACAGCTGCTTCTCTTTCCTGCTCAGAGAGAAAGCAATAGGATTATATACACAGTTACAATGAGCAGGGCCCTTTTCACCCAGCCACCATCCAATTACAATTAGTCCTTAACCTTGTATTGCTTCAACAACAGTCAAATTTCCTTATGCTACAGCTCAGGCTGAAAATCAATTACAGAGCAGTGGTGGCCAGACTTCAAGGTTTAGCGACCTTGTTTAGTATTCTTGCTTCACTAGAATCTCAAGGTCCACAAATTGGAGCCAGGTGCGAAATAGAGGCTGGAGGCTGCAGTGGTAGAACCAGATGTAAAACGGTGGCGCTGAAAGTACAGCCAACTATCCGAATCCCTGTGTACTCCATGAGCCACACAATGAATTAAAGAAACCAGGATCTACACTTGAGTTACTATGAATCAGGAATCCCAACACAAAACTAGAGCAGCAAATAATTTATATTTTATAGAAAAGCTTAAAAATAAACTTTTAAAAATGTGCATTTCTACCTGCTTTTGTTAACTGGGCAGGCTTCTCCAACCTGATGTCCTCTAGATGTTGTTGGACTACAATTTAAATCATGCCTGACCAGTGGCCAGGCTTTGTTGGGGCTGATGGGTGTGGTAGTTTAAAACAAACTGTACTGCACTAGGCTGGGGAAGCCTGCTGCTGATAGTCAAGAGACCCTTGCTGACCTACTATCAAACACAGAGAGATCTACCAGTACCTCCAAGACCCCCTTCTGCCACCCGATACAGAAGAATGTTCACTGCCCTGTGAACTCCATGTCTGCACACCAACTGCACATGGCAAACTGAATGCAGAGACTTGCAACTGCTGCTGCTGCCCCTATCATCTCCAGCAGGTGACTGCCTGAGACAGAAGAGGTTGTGCAGCTTTCCCTTCATCTCTCAGGTGTCTGGCAGCGGGGTTTCCCAGTTGGAGACAGGGATGGAAGCAACAGGCAGGCAAGCGAGGAGACAAGAATGCCAGGTGAGCAGCATTTGATATGCTGGCATGCCAGAGTCAGGTGTTGAGTGCAAAAAAACCTACGCTCCTTGTCCTCCTTGTACTGCCACAGCAGGATGCTTCTGAAGTTCTAGGATGAGGCTGACCCCCAACAGCGCAGACAGAAATGTATTCTAAAGCATGATGGTCAAAGCGATCTGAATACACATAAGCTGTGTTTGTTATCAGGATGGACAACATGTGTCTAAAGTCATTACCAGTCTACTTTGAATGTCTGCTTGTTTTCACCCAGATGCCTTTCACCCCTGTGGCTCAATTGGTTACCAGCCCAGCCTGGTAATGCAGGGATCCGAAACCCTGACCTTCCCAGTGCTGTTGGGTCTCTAAGGGACAGCCTGCCCTCAACCTTTCTTGGAGAGATCCAGTACTGGGCTCCAGCCTGCCTGCAGCATCTTCTAGCCCACTTGAGCCTTGCCTACACTGAGCTGTATACAACTAAATCACTGCACACAAAACAACTTCTGCAAAACTTCTCCTCTCCGTCTACCCCCTGCACACCATCCCTAAATATTTTCCAGAGGGGTTGGAGGAAGGGAGGCTGGGGAAGTCCCATCTCCTCCACACACAAACACACATACACACACACAATTTTTTAGGTGGATACAACCCACTGAAAACACACACAAGATGGTAGTGACACTAGGGGAGCAACACAAATAACAACCTCCTGGCATCACACAGATGCAGGGTGGAATCCACCCCCCCTCCATGCTTCATTTTCCTACCAAAAATAAAACCTGTTTCAGAAGTTCAGTGTTAATAATGAACAGATGCCAACTGTAAATAAATACTAGGAAAATAAATGCAAATAAATACTAGGCAAGCATCGCAGTCAAAGCGATTTAAATTTCCTCTTATTAAATAAAAGTAAAACAAGCATGATAAATTAAGTCACATTCTAGGGCATCAGAACATTTTCTGATTCAAATTGGCCAGTAATTTGCACAGGAAAATTTCCCAACTCAAAAAATTTCCAGAAAACCTGAATACCTACTAAAGAAAACAACTTGACACCACCTCAAACAGATGCTTAACTGTTTAGTGAACAACTTGCCCCTGGGCTTGTATGATGACCTCAACATTATGGATTAATCAGCACTCCTGTGTTAGTATCTCGACTCTACTGAAATTGTGTTGTCTTCTCTCTGTTTGTAATGTCGTGTTACGTTTGCGTGAAAACTTTTAGTAAATACAAATATATATCCAGAAAACCCACACCACTTATTTCCACCCCTCTCTTCTTTCAGGGTGGCAGATTCACAGAGCTGGATCACAAACGTTTCTGAGAGCTGCTTCAGAGATCATGTGGAATTCTAAGTCACAGGCCTACTGAGCTTCATAGTTGTCTTGCATGAACAGAAAGTATACCCCCCCACACACACTTGTGGCTGAAAATTGCAAGAGAAAATAAATAGTGGTGGACAAACTGTCTTCCAAGGAAGTATGTCCTAGTTGTCTGCCGTTTGCTGCACTTCTCATTCAAGAACTCCTAATAAACTTCCAAAGAACCCTAGAGTTCCCTGAAACATAGCGTGAAAACCACTACACTGAAAAACAGCCCTTTGCTTTTGCTAGTGGCCTTGCTTATGACATGGAACACAATATATTTTTTAGTTGCTGAAACCATCCCTGGCACTCTGTCCTGGTGCAATGACCTCCTAACAGCCCAGCTAAAACAGATGCAAACACCTAAAATTACAACATGCAAGTATTCTGCAGCAGCTGAGGGCTGCAAGAGGACTATTGAGATGTCTCTATAGGAAGAGAACATGTCCTTCCTTTTATCTGCCTCCCCTACCTAGCTTAGCATGTGTTACCTTTGTGTTACACCTAAGATATTTTGCCGCTGAGGCAAAGGATGAAACATGCCCCCCCCCAATACCAAAGCTGACCACAGTGGCAATTGCAGCAGACTAGCTTAGGGGATACAGCTCTGCCCTCTAACTCCTCACTGCCATCTCCTTAATTCTGGCTTATGTGGTCTGATATGGGTCTACCTAATGGTAAGGCTACCCCTGATTTTATTCTTCTGAAAATGAATTGGGAAAGGTATACATGGGGGTATCATGGAGGCAGGTACATAGGAAAATAGGAAGCTGCCGTATACCAAGCCTTGATCTATCTACCTTGGTATTGTCTACACTGATTGGCAGCAGCTCTCCAGGATTTCAGATGGGGAGGCTGAGAGAGAGAGAGAGAGAGAGAGAGAGAGAGAGAAACAAAAACAGAAACAAAAACAGAGAGAGAGAGAGAGAGAGAGAGAGAGAGAAAGAAAGAAAGAAAGAAAGAAAGAAAGAAAGAAAGAAAGAAAGAGGAAATTGCCCAGGGCCAATCAGCAAGTGTCTCACAGCTGAGTGGAGATTTGAACCCAAGGCTTCACAGTCCATTGCCAACACATTGTCCCTCCACACTTACTTGCTGGGAGTCCTCTGGAGCTCTCGGCTCCACAAGCACTTTCTTTCCTTTGCAGCAAACTGTGATCCAGATTGCATAGGTAGGCTTGTCTTTGTCTTTTGGTCAGGGGGTTGGACTAGCTGGACTTTTGCTCCTTTACAACTCTATGGTGCTGTGAAATTAATGGGAGGTTTTTGGGTAGTGCTAAGACTCAGCAGTGCAGAAGAGAAGCCCCATCTAGAAAGCAACAACAATGGGCCTCTTTCAAAAGGACAAAAAAAAAGAGGGATAAAGGACAACCTTTTTACGGGAAGGGGCCAAAGGAGGATATATCACAAAAAGTGCCTGCCTGCAAACACACTGAACAAAGACTTCAGTGCAAAGAAAAGGAAAAGAAATTCTTAAATGGAATTTTAAAAAACTGGCTGCATTAAAGGGAGAGGCAACAGAGTGGAGCCCCCTCTGTCAGCCGGACTGGGATCAGCTGCTGTTTAGTTCCTCCATTCCCAGAACTGTTTCCACCAGCAGCCAATCCACTAGGCTGAATCTGAGGGAGGAGGTGACTGCAAGGTTCCCTCCACTGCTAGTTGGTGCCTCCCCTCCCAGAATTCTCTCCTGCAGTGACAATTCCACATTACATAGTTTTATGTAACCAGTAGCGGACAGTTGATTCCTCTTCCCTCCCCATTCCTTTTTCCTCTTGTATCGTGACTCTTATAAATAATATTTACCTTTATATAGCAGTAGTAATGTCCTGCATGACAGCTGAAACCAGTATGTACCAAAACTGCATACAATGCATAAATAATTGGCTCTCCATTTGGCTGGGACATATATGGCCGAATGTCCAAATACTCAGGGTATTTCACCTCCTAAACAGAAATGAAAGGGGGGGAAAACACTTGCATTTTTCTCAATTCAGCAGAACAAGGTTTTGGTATGAACATAAAAAGCCCTATCCATCTCAGGACCAAGTTACTTGGGAAACTGCCTTATCCCTTTTATACCTAGTAGTTCACTGTGTTCTGCAGGACAGTTTCTCTTTCAGGCTCCCAAGGTATCAGAAGCCTGATCTGTAGCAGGTTGGAGCTGGACTTCTAATGTGGCCCCCTCTGTTCTGTGGGGATATTCCTGTCAGGATACAACAGGTGTCCACTATCTTTGCTGAAGGCAACTTTTGTTTCTAGAAACTTGGACGAAAAGATGTACACCTATATGTACATTCTGTGTTGCTTTTAAACCTATACTCTGCTGTTCCTGTACTATATCACTAGTAAAAGGTAAAGGTACCCCTGCCCGTACAGGCCAGTCTTGACAGACTCTAGGGTTGTGCGCCCATCTCACTTAAGAGGCCGGGGGCCAGCACTGTCCGGAGACACTTCCGGGTCACGTGGCCAGTGTGACGAAGCTGCATCTGGTGAGCCAGCGCAGCACACGGAAACGCCGCTTACCTTCCCGCTAGTAAGCGGTCCCTATTTATCTACTTGCACCCGGGGGTGCTTTCGAACTGCTAGGTTGGCAGGCGCTGGGACCGAGCGACGGGAGCGCACCCCGCCGCGGAGATTCGAACCGCCGACCTTTCGATCAGCAAGCCCTAGGCGCTGAGGCTTTTACCCACAGCGCCACCCGCGTCCCATATCACTAGTAGTAGGATATAAAACCATTTTTATATCGTCCTTCACAATATTTGCTTCCAGGCTGCAGAATGCATTTTAACATGCGTCAATATTTATATCTGGGCCTATAAAATCCAATCCAGTTGTAGCACTGTGTTACCTTTGTAATTTTGCCACCACTGAAATTTGCGAACCGTTTCAAGGACAAGGTGAGTACGTTTGAAGCCCGATGTATTGTAAACCTCTTTGATGCAGGAACCATTTTTTTACACCTAAAACATAAGCAGAGGACATCCAGTTCAGCTTTCGAGGCTATTTTCATTTGGTGTTATCCCATTTCCCTAAGTTCAAACAACTGCCTGCCCTATTTGAACTAGTATATGCAGGCTCAGATTTTCATAAATAAATTATGTCCATTCACAACAGCAGATTCAAGAAAGTTGGGGCAAAGAGAAAATAAAATGCCCCTGCCATTTTCTGCCTCCCACATGCCCTTTGATCCAGGCCAATGTCAAAGGTCAGCGTGGCTAGACTCTTGACAGGGGGCCCATACCACAGAAGGGGCCCACTGACGAAAAACCCCGGGCTCCTGTCCTCCTCTTCACTGCCAGCTGCTTGTCACCTGCTGTGGGCCAGAGGGGACAAGCAAGGAAACAACAGTGGCGAGAAGGAAAGGTGCCACTGTTTGCTTATTCATTAGCCCTGTCTTGCAACCAACCGTGATGCAGAGGACCAGCAATGCCTCCAAACAACAGCAGGAAGACCCATGGGCTTCTGAAAACCTGGAGCCAGCGCTGTTCTTATTTTTCATTCATTCAACTTATAGCCCACCCTTACCTCCCCAAAGGAGCCCAGGGCAGCAACGACATAAAATCTGGAAACATTTTAAAAAGCTTTATGAAAAACAGTTTAAGATATTTTCTCCTCCAATGGTTTCAGGGTTGCCAGAAACAGCATCTTTTAGCTGCTCTTCTAAATGCCCCATTCATTTGCTTCTGAGAGTGGAGAGGAGAAAATACAACTTCCAGTTGTCCTCAATGAATTTGGATTGCTTTTAATACGCAAACAAGTGTCAAAATAAAGCTTGCTACACCACAGATCACTAAATATCAGGGATAAATAATTTAGCAAATGCCATTTTGCCCTGCAGTTGCACATTAAGTGAAAGCCAAACTTTTTTTAAACCATGTAAGATTCATATGACAAATAGGTATTTTATTAGAGAAACACGTTAAATTTATTTCTTCTTACTTGCTACATTTATAGGCATTTTCACCATCCAGCTGTTCTGGCTTGACAAACTGCTCCAGAGCTTTGTTAACACTTTGAGCTGACTAGAAAAAGAGGAAGAGGAGAACTGAAGTGAGCGTCGCAAATAAAACTATTCCAAGCTAACTCTAGTTCATGGCAGAATCTTCACAGTGCATTTTAAAGGGAGACACTCTTCCAACTAGCAAATGCATTAAATCAGTGAATTAGGCATTCCAAAGTCATCTCTATCATCCCCCAAAGTACAAACATTGTAAAATCATTTCCATGTTTTTAAACGACGGCATAAAACCATTTTTGCAGGGGGCATGCCACCTAAATACTTCTTGAAGTACTTATTGAAGAAAATACTTCTTCAAACAATAAAAAATCCAAGGGGACCTGCAACAAAACTGCAGAGTGCTCCTGTCCATTCTCCCAGTTTTCTGTTTCCCCTCCCGCAACAGTCAGTCAGCATTCCACAGCCAATAAGCATGCTCAGTCCTCACTGAGCTCTTTCTGAGTTCCTCCCCCCTTCAAGACTTTTGGACTCCTCCAAACCTTGGGGTTCCCCCAAAACAGCTCCATCTTGTGTGTGCATGGTTTCATTTTTGCTTCGTAAGCAAAGCTCACCCTAGAACACTGGAAATGGGAGAGAATGCCGGAACTCATGGCCACAAGGTATGCTGATGGCCACTAACATACTCAGAGGAAAGACCTGTCAATGTCTGTTAATTACAACAGCTATATGGAACCCTCCATGTTGAGAGGGAGGTGATACCCCTGATTGCCAGTTGCTGGCAGGGGAGGCAATAAGAGGCTGCCTTCTTGCATTCATGCCATGCTTATGGATTTCCTGGAACAATCTGGTTGGTCATTGTGGGAAGTAGGATGCTAAACTACTTGGCCCTTTTGGTCTAATGAAGTAGGTCTCGTGTTACAGGGAAACATTTACTTTTCATGCACGCAATGATGAAGACAGTTTTTGCAGTACAAGCCTTCATTGTGGGGATTGATGGGGACTCTCAGGCCTGGGGCCAAATGCGGCCCTCCAAGTATCTGTCTGGCCCACGGGACTCTCACATGCTCACCTCAAGTGCTTTTGTCTGGCTGGAATGTGCTCTTGAGCTGTGATAATGGATTGTATCCAATTAAGCTCTACTTAGAGTAGACCCGTGGAAATTAAGCCATCTGTTAGCTGTGTCCATGGGCATAGCCAAGGGGGAGGGGGCAACTTCCTCCTAAATCAATACATATCTGAGGTTCTGCCCCCTTAACAAAAATCCTGGCTATGTCCATTACTTTCAATGGGTCTACTCTGAGTAGGACTAGCATTGGCTACAATCCAATGCTTCTTGCTTGCCTGGATGGAGGATGAAGAGCTGTGTGGGCAGAAACTGCTAACTATTGCTACAACATAATCTGTTGTGAAAAGTTAAGTGTCACATAGCTGCCTGATCCAATTTTTGCCTCTGGTCCCAACCCATCACTTGCATGTGGCTCCCAGAAAGCTGTACATGAAAGAATGTGGCCACTGGGCTGTAAAACGCACCCCCCCCGCGCCGCCCAGCTTTACTGAAATGGAATGGAACTAACCCCATTGGCAGATTTCTTATATTTTGGAGTAGAAAAGCACATTCCTAATATAACCAAACTGCATTGCTGTTTGAGATTTAAACAAAGCTTTTTCTTTTTGCAAATTAGCATACCTTTATCTCCAATGTAACATCTAGGTATGGATCAAAAGTATCTGAAACTCCTTTGCAGTTCATACATTTTACTGAAAGGGAAAAAAAGAAGTTTAGAATAATATACAGTGATCGAAGCCAGAGTTCAACAGCACTCAAACAAGACAGATTGTCAACAATACGCTAAGATCTTGGTGTTTTAGGAACCTACCTCTAGATCTTAGGTATCCTCCAAATATTTGATGAATGAATGTGGTAGCTTGGGTATGTCTGTCCAATCTAAAAACAAATCACAGAAGTAGACAATTTAGGTCAAAAGAGATTTCACAAGCACAATAATAGTTCCGGGGGGTGGGGGTGTATTACTCCAGCTACAACTTACTTGTTGCTACCATTCAGACACGCTTTCTGCATAGCATCAACGGTGTACCGTAGAAATTCGTGTGCATCTTCCTGATTGCCAAAACGGAAATGTTTTGCTATTCCTAATATGCAAAGAAAGAAGTTATATTGAATATATCACCTAAACCAGAGGTGGCAAAACTTTTTGGCCCAGCAGACCAGATCTTTACCTCCCCTCACCCAGCAGGCCAACTTTAACAGGAGGGTGGAACCACCCATCTGATGTCAGCTGATGCAAAGAGTTCAATCTTGCTTTCCCCAGGCAATGGCTGCGTGGGGCTGTCAATCCAGCCACGTCTCTACCAGCCCACATCTGACATCACATATGACATCAGGTGTGGGCATGGTTTTGGAAAACGGCCTGGTGGGCCAAATTTGGTCTGTGGGCTGACAGTCCCCCACCCCGATATAAAAGTCAGGCTTACACAACCTGCAACTTACCAAACTGAACTCAAACCCATCGGGGCACAACATCCCTCCTGTTTTTGTTGCCTGCCTAAGACGGCAAGACTAGGAAAGTTGGTAGGCTACAATATATGGCTTTACGCTGTGGTGGGTTTTGTGGTTTACATGTCATGCAGACGCTATGTAGTTTAAAGCATACTAGATGTCAAAGAAGATAAACGCTTACGTCTAAGATCATTTATGACAGGCATAGGCTTGATGACATTGCCGGAGTTTGAAAGCGCCTGGGTGATGTGACCTTGCATGGTGCACATCATGCAAAATCCTTGTTCGTGACCTGAAAAGAAAGGGGGGGCAGGGGAAAAATACCCATCCTGTATTATAAAACAAACAATTGGACAAACCTTTTTGCAGCTCACAAAAAGCAGTCAGTCAAACAAACGTTGCTTTAAGGATAAGTCATTGCAATTGCTTCAAGGAGCAAAATTATTTAAATCCAAGGGGGAAAGGGATGGATTTTTAAAAGGACACATATTATATGCAATTATTTCCAAAACAAGCAATAGACACCACTCTCAACATCTAACAAATCCTGAGCAGCTTTAGTAAGCAAAGCAATTCTATATGATATGTGTGAGGCCTAACAAAAATGGGCTGGTTCTCACCCACCTGCCTTCATGCATACCTATAATTTGAGCAGCACTTACAGCTCAGGATAGTAAAAACACAGGGGTGTATACTCAAGAGTAGATCTACTGCAGTTAAAAGGCACGACTAACTTAGGTTCCATAGGAACTGCTTTACACTGCTTTCAACTTAATAGACCATGTTCTTAAGAAGCCTGCCATATTTAGAATCATAGAATATTGTCCACATTTTTAGAGAAAGTGTGACAAACGTTAAAATATACTCACAGGTTTTGGAGTGTTCATGGGAAAGCATGTAGTTGGCAAGTGGTGGGGTGTAGGTCAGACATTGCAGTGCAGAGTTGAGGAAGCATGTGTTGCCAAGGTTTTGGAGACCGGCTCCAACTCTGTGTGTTTTTTGCCATTTCAAGCATATCTTCTCTGCCGGAAAGAGGACCTTCTGCGGGGCAGTAATGCCGTCACCAACAGCGGCTGAAGACCAAAGACACATTTTAAATATACTGAAGCAATTTAAGATTTTGAAAGAATGATTACTCAAAGATCGAATTTTAAAATTCAGAACAAAGGATAATGATGTTTGGGAAGCTCCAGCTAAAAGATGGCCCAGGGTATGTGTGGAACCACTTTTAAATAAGCAATTTACAATAGTAAAGATAAAGAAAAAGCCCATTTTAATTACCTTCCTGATCTGAACGCTGTATCTTTTTAGTGTTAAAAATGTTAACTATTGAAGAAATCTTAGGTGATTAATAGTATTTTGTATTTTGTTCTACTGATATACTGGGCATGCGTATCACAGGTTTTTCTCTTTTTTTCCACATTTCTATTCCACCTTTCCTCCAAGGAGCTCAAAGTGGTGTACACGGTTCTCTTCCTTCCCATTTTACCCTGACAACTCTGTGAGGCAGGCTAGGCAGAGAGTGACTGACTGATCCAAGGCTACCCAGAGAGCTTAACAGCTGAATGGGGATTTGAACTCTGGTCTCCTAGTCCAACACTCTGACCACTTCTTCACACCAGCGCCACAAAAGAAAAGTAGCATTTTCTCTGATTATATAGAATGTGCATGTGTATCTTAGCAGGCAGCTTCTTAGAAGAGGCGCCCTCTTCTTTCCTACACAGGAATGCCTCTCAATATTATGCTTGCCAGTTTCAGGTTTTTAAAAAACAAATATTGAAAAACACTATTACGACGAATAAAAATCTTCTTAATCATCTTCTCAATCAATACCATTTTTAATGTGCTTAATGGTTCATCCCAACTGCTAACTGTGCCTTGTTTATAGTTACCAAGGTAACTGTGGCATAACTACTGCAATAGGAGAATATGACTTTCTCCTTTGGCTCTTGCCACAGGTGGAACAAATTTTCAAAAATTAAGGTTGCACGAGTTGCACAATAGGCTTAAGAACGTAAGAAGAGACTGATAAAACATGCCAGTGGCCCATCTAGTCCAACACCCTGTTCTCACAATGGCCAACCAGATGCCTCTTCTGAGAAGCCTGAGTGCAATAGCCATCTCCCCGTCCTGCAGTTTCCAGCAACTGGTATTCAGGTGTATTCTGCTTCTGACAATGGAAGTAGCTTGCAAATCCAAGTGCTCTGGTTGCTGTGTTTTACTGCTTAGTGTTGGTTTTAATTATTGTGCATTGTATTTTTCTCTTGTTTGTAATCAGACCAAGGAATGTTTATTGATGGGTGAGCATGTGAATTTCATAAACAAAATAAAATCGTAAGAAGCTTCAGTGTGTATTCTCTTTTCTCTCTCTTTGTTAATAGAGCAGCTTTACTTACACAGATCCTTCTGAGCCGAGGGCTTGGATTTATCAGGTACTGATGAATTAGAGTACACTGCAGCTCCTGGCACTGGCCCCAAAGATATTTTGTGTTTTGGAGCTTCTAAAGAAGAAGACACAGCACCCCATCCTGCAGAGCCCGAGTCCATTTCTCCAGAAGCTGGTGCCACGGAGCTGAAAGGCTGTTTCTCAGAAGCCGAAGGCTTTGAGGACTCAGACGTCTTGTCAACTATGGTCATTGTTCATCTCTGTAAAACCGAGAGAGAAAGAGAGAGAAACATATTGTGGATGCATGGCAAAAGGAATAGAAATCTTGATTCACTTTCTAAGTAGACAACACACAGTTCTTTTTATACATGACGGAAACTCAATCAAGGAAACGTGAACTCCTCAAACAAAAGAAATGGACTGGTCCTTTGGCCATAGCACAATGTTCCCAAGTAGCACCCACCCACATAATCTCTCTTGAGACAGTCGCTCAATGTCTCGGAGTGGCCACACTGGGCCGGTCAGGCTGCCCCAAGAGGTGCTTCTACAGCTCCCCCAACCTGTCCGGCAAATACACAAATCCATTGTGATGACCACAACCTAGGTTTAAGGTGCCATTTGGCACCTAGCTTATATATTCGAGTTTCTAACACTGCTGCAAGGTCAGAAATGATGGCTCACTTGGTTTTTCAAGGAGGCTGCTTGCAACTCAGTAGGTGTCCTGCATAAAGTGACAAGGTGCTTCAGCATCTGTGCATTGTTTTCAGAGAACACTAAGGCTTCCATGTAGGTGACAGATTGCAAGATTCAGTATGGCCTAAGGCATGTGTGAGTATCAGCAGCACATTGGAAAAGAAAAAAAATCCCACCTTGCCAGACTGGATTGACCCTAATCAAGCATTTAAGAACCACAAGCCCCTCTTTTTGCCATGCCTGTTTTCATAACATGTTAAATAACTGATGTTATTTGTTATGAACAAGTTGCATACAACTAAGTACTGTATTTTTCGCTCTATAAGACGCACCAGACCACAAGACGCACCTAGTTTTTGGAGGAGGAAAACAAGGGAAAAAATATTCTGAATCTCAGAAGCCAGAACAGCAAGAGGGATCGCTGCGCAGTGAAAGCAGCAATCCCTCTTGCTGTTCTGGCTTCTGGGATAGCTGCGCAGCCTGCATTCGCTCCATAAGATGCACACACATTTCCCCTTACTTGCCATTGCACATGACATTGTGTGGCATGGCAGTTTCTTTGGATTAATGCTTTCCCCCCCAGGGCAATAAAAGTATTCCAGTTCCGTAAATGGCCGCTTCAATCTCTAGATATAGGGAGTGAAGGGAGGAGGAAGAACTAGCTTAGTTGCAACATCCTTGGCCAACCCTGGCTCATAGTGGATGGTGGGCCAAACAGCACCATCCGTCTACTTGATGATGCTGATGTTCACAAGGCTCTCTGTGTTAATATTAGTCTCAGAATTGTCTGTCTCATATCAGCCTACCAATTGAGCCTGACCATGGCAACATGCTGCAGCCTGCATTATCCCAGTTCCCAACTTGGAAAGACGGTGCTGCATTGCAGGAGATGCCAAATTTATGGCTCTCCCAATTCCTTCTGGCGTTAACGTCAAAAGAGGGTATGGTCACACAGCTACCCTAGCACTGCATATCCTCATTTAAATAAATACATACATGCTGCACTAGAGCTGCTGCCATCCATATGATATTTTCTGTCTTGAAGGCTGAAAAGTGGGGAGAGTACACACAGCTGCAATAGTGCTATAGCAGCTCTGATTGTGACACTGTCTTTCGGCTGTAAAAGGCTAAAATAAAGAGTAGTAGTGCTACACTACTCCGGGCAGAGGAAACCAATTGCAGCATGTGCTAGTTTGGCTCGCAATTCAACTGCTGGCATGCGCAATTTCTTCGTGTGCTAAGAGAATAGCACACGCAAGGCTGGACCAAAGAAAATATTACAGTAATGCAGCCAGTAATGTCCCACCAGTGCATATCATTTTGAGTTTGGGAGGGAAGCAGAGAGAGGGAGGATCCAGCAGGCAGGAAGAGCCCATGTTAGTGAAAGGAACTGCTGGAGAGGGCTAACTGTAGCATGTACTATTCTAACTCCCTACTGTATTTTGAAACCAGAGAGATCTTAAGCAAATCTAATCTCTCTGGGTGTCTAGATCAACACAAAGCCCAGAGATTGGCTTGACAGTAACTGAGAACTGAAGGTTACTGGAAGTGTTTCACACATATGAGGTTACATAAAGTAAATCTAACAGCTTTCATTGCTCTGTTAAACACCACATTCTCAGAGCTCCCTATTAAATCTGGCTTCCTTTTGGAATTACAGGGCTCAGGTTACCAAAATTGCCCAATAACGTAGCCGAAACATACTGAGAAGCACATCTCTGCGCCAACACTAAACATGCTTAAGTATTTACTCATTTCCTGCATGTGCCTGTTCGTTCTTAATTGGAATAGCAATGAAAGAAGAGCACATCGGAAGCACAATTCTCTTCCCCCTATTAACTAGGAAAAGGTACAATGTGAAAGGACGCGGGGAGGAAGGGGCAGAAGGTCAAGGAGCCCTCAATGTACAAATAAGTCAATAACACAATTGCTGAGCAGGAGTTCACTTGCAAGTCATCTGAGAGAATTGTTTATAGAAGAGAATGAACACAGCAGCCAAAATTCATTTGGAAGATAGTAAACTACAGTCCAAGTGCATCATTCCGGAGGTGCCTGGAGCAAACCTAGTAATAAGAGACAACTCCAAAACTGTCAACTGCTCAGATAAGATTATCCGACAACAAACACAGATGCGAATCCAGACAAAGAGTACGTTCCATTAAGCAGCGGGGTGGGGCAGGGGGGAAGAGGAGAAAAAAAGAGGTTTATCATCTTTTCTCCTCTAGGAAACAAGGATGCTTCACCACCACTTGGGAAATGTAACAAAAATGAAAAAAGGCAAAGAGGAAATTGTCACAAAAGTAAAGAGTGAAAAATAATTCTACAGCGCAGTAGCTGTGATTCACTATTTACACAAGCACTTTCTTGTTAAAATGGCATGGCTCTCAATACTGTTGCCAACAACACATTAAGAGAAAATATTTATGACTCCTAATAAGCCACAGAATGTGGTGTGTGCCTAAATGGTACCCAATCAGCGACTAGTGTTGTGTAACTTCCATTGATTTCAATCGGGTAGGACCTGCAGGTCTTACACAATCCTACGTGACTGGATGGTGAGTTACTTCATGTGGGCATACTTACTGGCAAGTAGGCCTTACTAAATTCAGTGAGACTTGCTCCCAAGACAACAGGCCTAAGATCAGCTTTCATGGGAGAGGTCTCTGATCTGACTTAACAAGCCATACTGCTCTGCTTCCAGTTCACTGCTCCCTGGGAGTAGCAATCAAACCAAGAAGTGGGCAGGCAGCTTATGACACATGCTGTGTCTCCCCAATCTCAGCCTATACAACACTGACCCAGGTAGCCACCGGTAAAGGCACTGACCAGACCTGCTTAACTTCAGCAAAGGTCCTGCATCATGTGCCCTCAGATAATGCCCTGGGACTAGTCTAATCACCTGCTTCATAGCAGGACTCCCAGCTTCTGTAGGTCAATCTACCCAACGTAGAATACAATACAAAGAACAGGAAGATGGTTGCATAGCAGTTAGCTCCTGATGACTCAAAGCAAGTAAGACAAATGGCATGCACTATATAGCAATGACAAACCTAGACAGCATCTTAAAAAGCAGAGATATCACCTTGCCAACAAAGGTCCGTATAGTTAAAGCTATGGTTTTCCCAGTAGTGATGTATGCAAGTGAGAGCTGGACCATAAAGAAGGCTGATCGCCGAAGAATTGATGCTTTTGAATTATGGTGCTGGAGGAGACTCTTGAGAGTCCCATGGATTGCAAGAAGATCAAACCTATCCATTCTTAAGGAAATCAGCCCTGAGTGCTCACTGGAAGGACAGATCCTGAAGCTGAGGCTCCAATACTTTGGCCACCTCATGAGAAGAGAAGGCCGGCCCCCACAAGGTCTGAGGGACAGTAGACTGGCCCCCTGCTGAAAAAGTTTGCTGACCCGTGCTATAAACATTGAACAAAACAATTAATACTACAGGGGTAGGAAACCTGGAACCCTTTTTATGTTGTTGGATGCCAATTCCCATCAGCCTCAGTCAATGGGTAATGGTCAGGGATTATGGGACGTGTAGTCCAGCACTTCTGGAGGGCACAGGGTCCCCATTCCTGTAACAAAACTGACCAATCTGAGAAAATTGCAGGGGCCAACATTTATGCTTTTTAACAAGTTCAGTAAATTGCAATGCATCAAGTGTTTAGAATTTATTTCCTGATAATTTAAGGCAGATACAGACTGGAGGAGGGGGTTAATTGTTTTTGTTTTTATTGTGTATTTTATGTTTTTTATCTTGTATTTTTATGTTGAAACCGCCCTGATATTTAGAGGAAGGGTGGTACACAAATAATAATAATAATAATAATAATAATAATAATAATAATAATAATAATAATGGGAAATTATATTTTATAATAGCATAGCAGGTGGATGGATAGATGGCTCAGCTATAAACTTCAGTAACATTTAGCAACAAGTAACTGCCCAATTTTCAGTCTGTTTGAAGAAATGTTGTACACCACATTTACAAGGGCACACCTTACAATAAAATCAAATACCTTAATTGGAAACATCAGGTCTCTCATTAAAAAGCTGTAATTATTTTCAGAACACCGACCATTAAGAATGTAAAGTCCCAGCAATTACCCCCAGTAGTTCCATTTTGTTTTACTTTTTTGGATTCAGAACCTCTCTGCACAAGCCCTCTCCCCCCCCCCCCACTGGCCGCCATTTCTGTTCTCAATTATTTATTCTCCCCAGCTTCTTGTTTCCTTTCCCCCACAATTGTCGACCTTGTGCCTAAATCTTTCAATTTAATTTCACTATGGTCTTTTACAACAAAGTTAACTGGTTCTTCTAACATATTCCATTCCGAAAGAAGCAATTTACTTGCAAAGAGGCAGCTCTGTGTGTTTTAAAGGTGCCTTCAAGATACATTTGTGTTTGCAATTTTATACTTACAAAGCATCGTTTATGCCAGGAGAGCCTAAAGTAGTATGTTTCCAGCTACTGAAGCTATAAAATGGGTTTTTAGTAGGGGGCGTGGTAGTCAGTACACACAGAAGGTAGAATATCTGTAAAATGTCTATCTCCCCTATCCCTGGAAATTAATATTACTGAAGGTAGAAGCATTTGATACATTCCTCCCTGGGGAAGGTGGATTTTGCAAGGAACAGAAGAGGCATATTGATACTTTCCCTCCCAGCTCTACTACACAGGAATCTATTGTGCTGCTGCTATAATATCATTCATGCCAAATACAGAGCAACGCGGCCCTGATGTCAACATGTCACACAGCCAGCGTGCATACAGAAAATGTCCATGCGGGAAACAAGATTCGCCGCCCTTGTTCAAACCCAGCAACAGCTGCTGCAACATGTCTAATCAGATGTGGCAAAAGGATGAACTGGACTGAAAAGGTGGACACGTAAGCTATGGACCTAAAAGATGCAAAAGGACCCGGGTCTCTGTTAATTCCCATCCCCACCACATCAAAGCCCGATTTCCAGACACAGGGGGAAGAATGAGAAGAAGGGAAAGTACAGGAATCACTCATTTGAGAAGTAGTGTCCATGGCAACCAAGCAAAGGAAGTAATACTATATGGAGAATGACAGGAGACTTTCAAACCCACCCACCCCTTCAGCAGCAAGGGGGAGGGGCATGAGCAAAGTGAAGACAATCTTACAAATCAGAGGGAAATAAGATATGGGCACCCACAGGAATTTTTCCAAGGGAGAGGAATAAACATATATACATAATTGAAAGGTGGAAGCAGGCAAGTTTCTCACAAAACAAATGAGAATATCTCTGGTTCTACAAATATTTTATTTATTATTTGGAGCATTTGTATCCTTGCTCTTCAACCAAAAAGGCCCTCAGACTGATTTACATACAATCAAAACAAGACAGTCCCTACCCACCTCTCTCTTTTTTTTAACCACAACAGCCCACATGATACACAAGGAGAAAGGAACAGGCAGGCAGAGGAAAATAAAATAAAGAAAAAGTTACATTTTTCTTGGTAATGGAATAATTTTTTTAAAAAAAAATCTCAAATAGTAAACGTTTAAAGAGGCTGTTGTGCATCTCTTGAGAAGTACAAGAAAGAGTGTTTATTACATCATTACAACAGGCACCAATTTCTAAGTCTGGGCCAGGAGGTGCCTTATGTCCCCAGATGACAGCTGAGGGGAGAGGGAGGCCTGATGGAGCTGACCTGTCACAGAAGCTGATGAAGCTCTCAAACTGCTGGAAGGGCTGCACTTCTTTTTTCTATAAGAAAGCTGACAATCTGGGGCTAATGGTCGGTTGTGTGGGGACTGCCCCCCCTTTACCCCATGTGGAGAGCCAAAGTGAGGAAAAAAGACACTCTTGGCTACTCACAAACTGGGAAGGAAATGGGAGAAAAAGCAGTACAGTGGTACCTCAGGTTAAGTACTTAATTCGTTCTGGAGGTCAGTTCTTAACCTGAAGCACCAGTTTAGCTAATGGGGCCTCTTGCTGCTGCCACGCCGCCGGAGCCCGATTTCTGTTCTTATCCTGAAGCCAAGTTCTTAACCTGAAGCACTATTTATGGGTTAGCGGAGTGTGTAACCTGAAGCATATGTAACCTGAAGCGTATGCAACCCGAGGTACCACTGTATATATGGGACCAAGAAAAGAGGGAATTCTGTAACTGCCCCCCCATGGGAGGTCAGAGGAAGCAAGGCCCCTGCTCCACACTAAAGCTCAAGTCCTTCCTAGAGATGGAATTAGACCATGGGTAGGCAAACTAAGGCCCGGGGGCTGGATCTGGCCCAATCACCATCTCAATTCAGCCCGCGGACGGTCCGGGAATTGGCGTGTTTTTACATGGGTAGAATGTGTCCTTTTATTTAAAATGCATCACTGGGTTATTTGTGGGGCATAGGAATTTGTTCAATTCCCCCCCCCAATATAGTCCGGCCCCCCACAAGGTCTGAGGGACAGTGGACCAGCCCCCTGCTGAAAAAGTTTGCTGACCCCTGTGTTAGACAGCTACGATGCACACACGAAACCATGCTGAAACAGAGAATGGAAGAGTGGGGCAAACTATTCAAAAGCCTTCTGACAACCATACGCACAGAGCAAAGTGCACACACACAAAGAATTGGATGTATAATACCCATACTTCTCTGCCAAAGCAAAATGACTATATACGTATATGCAATACACACACACATGCACACACTAATACCCTAAAAGCCAAATGTACATACACCTCTCTGTATGTACATAACACCAGTGGTGTGAAACGCACGCTTTACACCCCCAATTATATATAAAATGTGCATAGGAACGTATATATGCACACACACACTTGCCAGTATACAGACACACACTGAAAGAAAACCAACTTTATGCGGACGTGTGTGTATACGACACCAGAAATACACACAGTAGTACACAGACATAAAACACAGGTACATATACACACCTCTTTCCCTCCAAACCACCCAACTGCCTTCCCTTCCCTTCCCTCAAACTAGCCCCCCCCAAACCATATAAGCAGCAAAGCGGGATTGAGGGGGGGGGAGAAAGCATTTCACAAGCTCCCATTTCTCCCCCCGCCACAGAAAACAAGCCCACGCACGTATCACAGAGCCCATCCCCCGCGGATCTCCAACGCCCCAAACCTCGGGCCCCATAATGCCTCCACCCCCAGCCCCCACTAGCACTGTGTGAGCGCGGGGGCGGCGTTTGCAAGAGGAACGGGGGCTGCTGGGGCGCGAGGCGGGGGTGGGGGGCCGGAGGTCACCCCGGGGCAGAGATGGCTGAGGAGCGGGGGGGTCGTGAGAGAAAGAGAGAGAAAGAGGGGAGGCAAATGGCAGTGGGCGGGGCGGGGCCAGGACACGCATGGGCCTAGTGGGGAGGCGGGAAGGGAAGCGCCGGGAGAAAAAGCGACGGGCGGAGGAGGCGGCGGCTGAGGAGACGAGGAGGGGGCGCTCCCGCAGCAGCAGGGGGGCGGGAACGGGCCGCGCCGAGCAGCCCCGGCCCGGGGAGGGACGGAGGGGGCGGCCTAGCCCGGCGCGGCTCCCCGCCGCAGCCCACCCGGCCCCTCGCCCGCCCTCTCCCGCTTTCCCCCCTCACGCTCCCGCCGTCCCCCCTCAGCCTTCCCCGCTTCAGTTACCTGGGACGGCGCTGCCGGCTCCCCTTTCGCCTCAGCCCGGCCGCTCCGCCTCCCTCCCCTCCTGCTCCTGCTTTGCCCGCGTCGGGGAACAATGACGTGCCCCGCTCCGCCCGGCCTCTTGCATCCGGGGCCCCGGCGAAGGCCGGCGCGGCTCTGGGTCACACAGGGACCAGCGCCGCCCCTGCGGCTTCGGCAGGGGGCCGGCAGGGGGCGCTGCGCTCGCCGGCGTCTGTTTTAAAAAAGAGATGGAGGGCGGGGCAGGGGCTCGGCGGAACTGCGGGTTTAGGGGCGGTCGGCAAAGAGGCAGGAGGCGCCGCTGCGGCGAGGGGCGGTCTCAAAAGTGCGAGCCGCGAGTGGAACGCAGACTCGGAGTTCGGTTGCGGCTGCTGTTTAACGGGGTGTTTGGGTTGTTTGTTTTCGCGCAGATCGGCGGTTCTGCGCACGCCTTGGTCGGAGGCAAGCTCCGCTG